TGTCTGTTTGTTTGGGCTAATCTCTGAAACGCCTTTACGGATTCTGACGGGACTTTTTTTGGCAGGTAGCTGATGTAATATGGAGTAACTTAGGCTACTTTTATTAAAAAAAAAGTTAAATTCCACGCGAACGAAGTCGCGGGTACAGCAAGTATCTTATAAGATCAGGATGATATTGCATATGAAATTAGAATCAGGACTGTCCCATCTACAGCGTGACGTGTGGTCATGGTACTTATGCGTCACCCACAACTTCGGTCTGGGTGAATACCCTTCAAGATTACAAATTTACCTCAAAAGGCATATGAATTTAATTATTTCATATTTAAAGTTAATATTTTATTTTTTAAATCGCTATATCAATATAGTTAATTACTAGTAACTAACTAACATTTTTAACATTTCGCGATTAATACATATAAATAAAATTGCAGTGTCTGTTTGTAATATTGAAATAATAGTTTTTTACTACAAGCATATCTATGAACATAAATACAAAATAACATTTTTTACCCTTTCTGTCTGTCTGTCTGTTTATTCCGGCTAATCTCTGAAATGGCTGGACCGATTTTGACGGGACTTTTATTGGCAGGTAGCTAATGTTATAAGGAGTAACTTAGGATATTTTCATTTTAGAAAAATAAAGTTAAATTCCACGCGGAGGGAACTGAGAGGAGTCTCTCACACGATGTCCCGGGAACTGAGAGGAGTCTCTCACACGATGTCCCGGGAACTGAGAGGAGTCTCTCACACGATGTCCCGGAACTGAGAGGAGTCTCTCACACGATGTCCCGGAACTGAGAGGAGTCTCTCGCACGATGTCCCGGGACTGAGAGGAGTCTCTCACACGATGTCCCGGAACTGAGAGGAGTCTCTCACACAATGTCCCGGAACTGAGAGGAGTCTCTCGCACGATGTCCCGGGAACTGAGAGGAGTCTCTCACACGATGTCCCGGAACTGAGAGGAGTCTCTCACACGATGTCCCGGAACTGAGAGGAGTCTCTCACACGATGTCCCGGAACTGAGAGGAGTCTCTCACACGATGTCCCGGAACTGAGAGGAGTCTCTCACACGATGTCCCGGAACTGAGAGGAGTCTCTCGCACGATGTCCCGGGAACTGAGAGGAGTCTCTCACACGATGTCCCGGGAACTGAGAGGAGTCTCTCACACGATGTCCCGGGAACTGAGAGGAGTCTCTCACTCGATGTCCCGGGAACTGAGAGGAGTGTCTCACACGATGTCCCGGGAACTGAGAGGAGTCTCTCACACGATGGACCCGGCACCAGCACCGTGCATACATAGAATGACAACCAGTTCATCTCTCTTGCATGTTATTTATTAAGGAACATATCTTATTGAATCTTTCATTAAGGAAAATACTTTATTGCTGGTCAAACTAGATATCTGAGATCAGGTATTGATATACAATTATATTCCGACCGTGAGAAACTTGTTTTATTATAGCTGTTCCCGCGACTTCGTCCGCTTGGAAATTAACTTGATTTTTCTAAAATAAAACTAGCCTGAGTTACTCCTTATTACATCAGCTACCTGCCAAAAAAAGTCCTGTCAAAATCGGAGCAGTCATTTCAGAGATTAGCCGGAACAAACAAACCGACAGATAGACAGACAAACATTTTAAAAAGTTGTATTTTTGGTGTATATTCGTAGATTTTTGGTGTATGTGCCGTATTTATATTCATATGCATGTAGTAAAAAATGGTTATTTCAATATTACAAACAGACACTCCAATTTTATTTATATGTATAGATGTGAAACAGACAGACAATTCGCATGGACATGACTAAAATGAAACATGATTAACAATCTCTGTAGAAATATACCTTTATTTTGTCCAAACACAAAATATATTTATTTATTTATAATTCTTTATTGAACCAATATTAAAAGCAGATACATAAAAAAAAATATATATATAACAATATATAAAAGAAAGTACAAGGTACAGAAGGCAGTCTTATCGCTAACCCAATCTCTTACAGACAACCTTAGGAAAGATATACTTGTTTTTAACAAAAAAGACAAGTGAAGAAAAGGACAAACTGAAATTTTTTATTTATTCAATATTTTATTTATTTAAAAATGAATGAAAGTAGATAGATGCTTGTGTAGATAGTCCAGTCATTATAGTAAGTTAACCTCGGAATTCGTGATACCCAGCTGTAAGTCTGTGAATACTTGTATATAACCTAAAAGTTGTCTCAAAACCTACGTACGATTTTGTAAATATCTCATTTCCTATGGGTTTTTGGTAGTTGTATTCAATAGCAATATTGTAGAATACAAAATTTTCTACAACTTTTGTCTAAACTTTTTTTTTATACGGTGAACCGTTTTCGAGATAGAGGGCGGAGAGCGCGCGGTCACTGCATCTCTTCAGGTCAACCGGTGCCTCCGGTCGGAAACGTGGATAGGTATGGATAGGTATGGATCAACTTTTCGGAGGGATAGGTTCAACTTTTAGGGTGTCAATATACAAGTATTCACAGACTTACTGGTTATCACAAATTCCGAGATTCTTACCAAATTTAAGCTTAAATGACTGGACTAAGACGTATTGCAGAGCGCAAAGATAGAAGTGTTATAAAACAAAATGCATATAAAGATCATCATATTTTGAATACGGATAAAATAATATATATAAAACTAGCTTTTGCCCGCGGCTTCACTCGCGTTAATTTATCCCCTTAAGGGTGGAATTTATCAAAATCCTTTCTTAGGGGATGCTTACGTCATAGTAGCTTTATGCATGCAAAGTCTCAGCCCGATCGGTTTAAAATTGACAAAGTTTCATACAAATTTTCATCCCCTATTTTATTCCCCTTGGGGGTAGAATTAATCAAAATCCTTTCTTAGCGGATGGCTACATCATAACATCTACCTGTATGCCAAATTTCAGCCAGATCCGTCCAGTGGTTTCCACTGTGCGTTGATAGATCACTATGTCAGTCACCTTTGAGTTATATATATTTAGTGACTAGTGACTCTCATTATAGGTTTAACAATTCGGAATGGTTAATAAGCAACAAACTTACTGGTAACTTGGCTATATACATGAGAGGCCAACCATAATCAAAAAGTTCCTTTTGAGTTCGTTAACAATAATAATAATTGACGACCTCAGTGGTCTAGCGGTTTAGCACACCGCTTCACGACCGATGGTCGCGGGTTCGATTCCTCGCACGGCACAAACATTTGTATTCATGAGTGCGATTGTTTGTATCGATCTGGGTACTTTCTATGCATAATATGTATGTATTAACGAAAAATAATTATTTATATATTTGGGTGTTTTCTATGTATATTTTTTATGTATTTACAAGAAAAAACTATCTATGTATATGTATCAGTTATCTAGTACCCATAACACAAGCCTTAGCTAGCTGAACTTGGGTCTAGATGGGGCTGTGTGAATTGTGATGAGATTATTATTTATTATAAGTAGATAAATTCTTTATTCAACAATTACAGAAACAACTAACATGAGACACAGAAAAAATAAGAGTTAATAAAAGAAATGTAGGTGACTTTCATCATCATTGCCTTGCCTTTATCCCATTATTTGTGGTCGGCGCAGTATGTCATTCTCTTCCACTGCTCTCTATCGGTCGTCATATCTGAACATACTCTTCTTTTATTCATATCATCTTTCACACAAGAGGTGACTTTACGTGCCGCAAAAGTGAAAAGGCAGCCAACTCAGCATAATCTACAGATAACTCTGCAATAATGTTTTTGTAGAGAAACTTAAAATTCATGGCGCTGACAATATTATCTGATTGCACTAAGAATAAGTGCGTAGCGGTTTCTATGTTGATTATCGCATGCCTCTTATCTGTTTTTATGTTTTATTTGTATTGTTTATATATATATTATTTTGTTTATATATATATATATTTATATTATATTTGTATTTATTAAGAAAAACATCTATTCAAAAGAGCAACACACAAGTTTCTTGCTCATTCTCCTTGTGATGAATCTGCATTCCGAATGAGTGGTGGAATCAAAATATGACTATTCAAAAGTGCTTGTAATGAGTTTATTTGAATAAAGATTATTTCTATTTCTATTTCATACCTCAGATAACAATATTAATTTTTTTAATTATTTTCTTTCTCCTGCTCACATTTCTGAGAGACACTCCAATTTTATTTACATGTATAGATGTATAGATAATGGAATGGTGCACCCGCCTGCGCTAACGGTTTACGCTGTCGGGGCACCAGTGGAGGTTGATAGATGAGCATGGGGTCAGGTCAGTTAGTCTATCATGCCAAATTCACCAAGAATGTATGACGATGGTTTCCAGGGGGAACCGCGTGGAGGTCAATCCGACATGGTACATTGCTAGCAATAACATCATCAGTCCACATTACAACAATATCTGATTGCACAAAGATTTCGTAGCGGTTTCTATGTTGATTGTCGCCTAATCCTTATTTGACGGCCGGACGGTTTAGCGGGTTAGCACGCCGCCTTACTTCGACGGTCATGGGTTCAAATTCAAATTCAAAAATAATTTATTCATGTAAGACATTGTAGCCACTTATGAACGTCAAATTTTTTATATTATAATTTTTTCATTATAATTTTTTTAATTGAGAAGTACTGACAAGAAACTCAATTGAATCAATTCCTCGCACGGTACAAATATTTGTATTCATGAGTACGATTGTTTTTGTCGGTCTGGGTATTTTCTATGTCTATTATGTATGTTACATACATACAAAAAAGTATCTATGTATTTATATCAGTAGTTTAGTTACTCAACTACACAATCTCAACTTAACTTGGATCTAGATGGCGCTGTGTGAATTGTCCTGAGATTATTATTATTAATATGTATTTACTTAGAACAACGTTTATTTAAAAGAGCAACACACAAGTTTCTCGCTCGTTCTTCATTACGAGTTTGCGTTCCGAAAGAGTGGGAATAAAAAAATATGACTATTCAGAAGTGAATATATTTAGTTTATTTGAATAAAGATTATTTTTATTTCATTCAAAATCGGATTTTTACTTTAACATAGTTGGCCAAACAATATCTTCTATCCAAGACAGGTATGGGTATACCTTGGTATACACTCCAGGTTTCTCAGTTCCACTGCAGACTGATCCTATTGACGTCAGTCCAATGATGGAGTGGAGGCATTGGAATTTGTTGCGAATTACCAGAGGACCACCGCTGTCACCCTGCAAAATAGTAATGAAATCATACATCACATCCGTCATACTCGAGAACGGGTGCTTTTTTTTATAACACAGGGGACAAACGAGCATGCGGCTCACCTGATGGTAAGTGATTACCGCCGCCCATGAGCACCCGCAACACCAGCGGAATTGCAAGTACGTTGTCGGCCTTTTAAAAAGGAATAAGCTCTTTTCTTGAAGGTTTCAATATCGTATCGGTTCGGAAATACCATTGCTGGAAGGTGATTCCACTATGTGGTTGTGCGTGAGGAACAGTTTCTGGAAAATAGGTGTCACGTGATGACGTGATGTCCGTAGTGCTGTTGATGTATATAGGAGATGGTTACCACTTACTATCAGGTGGTACGTCAGCTTGTTTGTCATTGCAACGATAAAAAAAAAACAAAATTACATTAAAAGTACCAGGAGAATATGAATTTATAGACAGTTATAGCGTAGTAGTTATATATGAATTTATAAACAGTGCATAGTAGATCGGATTTCGTAGTCCTTCAGATCGGCACTGTATTCAGGTCTGACGTAATGTTTCTAGTGCTGTTCATGTATATAGGCAACGGTTACCACTTACCATCAGGTGGTACGTAAGCTTGTTTGTCATTGCAACGTCAACAAAAAAATAAAGCAAAATTACATTAAAAGTACCAGGAGAACATGAATTTATAGACAGTTATAGTACAATATATAATATATACAGTGATTCCACAATGTGGTTGTGCGAGGCAAAAATTGCTTGTGGAGACTGGTCTAATCGGGTTACGTTGACTGATTGCATTTCCTTTTGATAAATTGCAATAGGATATGCTCGCCTTGGTGGTATGACGGTTTTGCGCACTGCTTTACTTCCGACGGTCGCGGGTTCGATTCCTCGCACCGTGCAAACATTTGTATTCATAAGTACGATGGTCTGTATACGTCTTAGTATTTAAAAAAAATATATTTCTATTAGTTGTCTATTGCCTATAATCAAGCTACATTACATACAATCACACTCATGAACACAAATGTTTGTACCTTGGGAGTAATAAATAAAAATATTAACTTTACCATAATTACATAGTATAAAACAAAGTCGCTGTCGCTGTCTGTCCGTCCCCATGTATGCTTAAATATTTAAAACTACGCAACGAACTTTGAAGAGGCTTTTTTAATAGATAGAGTGATTCATGAGGAAGGTTTATATGTATAATACATGTACACCCGTGCGAAGCCGGGGCGAGTAGCTAGTCTTTTCATATATTGGAGATTGCTATATTCATTCATGAGCATTTATCATATTTTTAATATATTAAAAAAAGGTTTAAAGAATTACTGATCGAAAAAGCTTATTATACTGTAAAAGGTTTTTCTAGCAGACGTACAGTACCAGCTAAGCAGACTCTAAAGCAGACTTAAATTGTAAATTTCACTAGCTTTTGCCCGCGGCTTCGCTCGCTTTAATTTATCCCCTTAGGGGTGGAATTTATCAAAATCCGTTCTTAGGGGATGCCTACGTCATAGTAGCTTTATGCATGCAAAGTCTCAGCCCGATCGGTTTAAAATTGCCAAGTTTCATACAAACTTTCATCCCCTCTTTTATACCCTTGGGGGTAGAATTAATCAAAATCCTTTCTTAGCGGATGCCTACGTCATAGCAACTACCTGCATGCCAAATTTCAGCCCGATCCGTCCAGTGGTTTGGGCTGTGCGTTGATAGATCACTACGTCAGTCAGTCACCTTTGAGTTATATATATTTAGATTTAGGCTATTGTAAATATGGAATGAATCATATACAAAATTGAACACTTTAAACAGAGTTCATGTGTGTATTGCTGAGTAAATTACGTGACTACCATGGCTGTCATATAAAAAAGCGAATCGCGTCGCGTTGGTAACCCACTTCTATAACTCTACCTTTGTAGAGACACGTGTGGGACGGGCGCGACTCTGTATGGGCGACAGTCTCAGGAGTTCAAGACTGCCGTCCACAGAAGCTGAGGCGCATCCCGTATTCCGGTTTGTCTTCCCCACGGTGGGCAGAAGTGGGGGAACTGGAAAGTTGAGGAGGGCCCGCTTGCGGGAAACCGCTGGGGTCGCACTCAGCGGCGAGGAGAACATCGTGGGGTTTTTGGTTAATAGGAGACTCACAGTACATCCCCTCATCCATTCAACCCCTGAGACGGACGGGTCTTCATGAGGTATTTTTCCCGCGTAAAAAAAGGATAGAGATGCCATGTATGTATTGCTGAGGAAACTACGAGACCACCATGACTATCATATAAAGAAGCACATCAAAAGAAGTTGCCGTCTAAAAAACTCGGTGCTCTCAATAGAGCGAAGCGGTACTTCATTTCGGACCAGATACTCCTCAGTCGTCACAGGTTCGGCCGCACATGGCGTACAGCTCTCATCTTTGGGCGAGAGCACCTGGATACCAGCTCGGTTCTTTTGAATCCGTTCAGAGGATGCTTATGAGAATTGTTGATGATCCCGATTTCTCTGGCGGTATCGAACACTTAGCTTGAGGCTACACTTTGCTTTGCTTTGTGTGTTCTAGCGATTATACAACGGACTATGTTGTGAGGAATTTTTAGATATGATGCCCACGGCTACCTTTTACCATCGCACCGCTCGCTATCGACATTTGGGAGGGATGAATTCCCATCCCTCCATGCTAGAACCTAAGTGGTCTCGGACAGAGCGGTTTCAGAGGAGCTTCCTCCCGCGTACAATTGTGAAATGAACTACCTGCCGAGGTTTCACGAGACTACAGCATGGGGTTTTTCAAGAAGGGTATATTAAGGTTTCCTTAGGGTCGGCAACGCGCACGTGATACCTATGGTATTACACGCGTCCATAACCTACGGTAACCATTTCCCATCAGATGGGCCGTATGTTTGTTTGCCACCGTAGTAGTATAAAAAAATTGTTGAATACATGTACCTTACCTTACAAGATTCAGAAGGGGTTGTTCTGTATCCATAGCATGTTTGAGTTACGTCATCAATTTTGAAAATCCGCGCATTTTTGCTTGAATACTGACGGTTACACTCTTGGTTAGAAAACTTGTACAGCTTCACCTAAAAGAAATAGATTTTTTAATCTATGATAATGGAATTGCACTTGGCCTAGGATAGAGATCTAGTCTAGGCCCGAAGATGTCGCGCGCATGCCCCCGCGCGCCTTCCTCAGGGAAGACGTGGGAAGTAGTGGGTTTCGATAGGGAACCCGCAGAGATAGGGCCCGCTGCTAGAGTGGGCCACCGCCGTCGGAGTCGCGGTGGACTGATAGACATAGGCGTTAGGTGAGGGACATCTTGGAGTTTTTAATGAGTAGGAGTCTCACAGTACCCGCTTGCCTCCCCCGGGGGTCTCCATGAGATATTTTCTCCAAGTCAAAAAAAAAAGGATAGAGATGCGGGTGGGGCGTGAGGTTGGACAACCTCCTCGAGCTATTGGGAGCCATCCCCATCCTTGAGGATACGTCCGCGGAGAACGGTGGCCGAGCAATGATTTGGTTCTGGTACGCCCTGGGCGAGATAGTAGTAGTTCCTTCGGGATATTGCTACTATGTCGGCGGATAGTCCGGCAAAAAAGGGCGGTGCAGGCTGGGACAATGGATGGGGCCCGTCCCGGCCGTTAAGCGTCGCGTTGGTGGCCCGCTTCTGCTATGACTCTACTCTTGTAGAGACACATGCGTAGCACGTGTGGGCAGTCGCAGGTGTTCAAGTCTGCCGTCTACATTACAGGAGCCGAGATGGGGGGAGGCGCATCCCGTATTCCGGTGCGTCTCCCTCACGGAGGGGGAACTGGGAAGAATTCGAGCGTCGAGGGGTACCTGCTTGCAGGAAACCGCTGCTGGGGTCGCGGTTGATTGCCAACTCGATCTCGTGACCCTGGCACTACGGCGGCGAGGAGGAGGAATATCGGAATTTTTTGTGATTAGGAGTCTCATAGTACCCGTCCGTCCAACTCCTGAGACGGGCGGGTTTCCACGAAGAGTTTTCCCCACGTAAAAAAAGGATAGAGATACCTGGGGTGCTTGTCGGACAACCTCCTAGTATATTCAGCATTTTTAGGTCCGCTGCGAAAATTTATAAGAAGAAAGGTGGCTGAACAACGACAGTGTCTCTAGATCACCGAGACCGTCATAAAAATACAGCTTTTTCCTTTCCGAAGACTGTCGAAAAAAGAAAACTATGTTACCTCTTGAAGAGTGTCTGCTGAGTCTTCCATGTTCCCCAGCATCCAAGAAGTGGTCGAGCCTTCATCAGTTTCCACTTCAATGTCCACGTTTAAGCAGGCTGGCTGGATTCTCGGTGAAAAGACAATACTGTTGAACAAGTATATAATTAAATTTTTTCTTCATTTCTTTTCTACTATTTTAATATAACGTGGTATCAATATAACAATTTAAGACATGGTAAGAAAGAGTAAATAACGAAATGTCTGCGAACAGGGATGAATGATGATGATGATGATGATGTCTCGCTCAAAGGCGAAACATATACGTGTAGACTCAATAATAGTCGGAATTTGATCACCAATAAAGAAGGCCGTTTCCAGTAGTAGTGATCTGGTTTCCGCATTGAATATTTCTGGTCTCACACATGCAAATAGTGGCCTAATTAAACAAAATAATGTAAATCCATATAGTAATAACGATTTGACGGTCTCGGTGGTTTAACGGTTTAGAACACGGCTTTATTTCTGATGACCGCGGGTTTGATTCCTTGCCACGACGCGACGCAAACATTTGTATTCATGAGTATGATTGTTTTATCAGTCTGGATATTTTCTATGTAATATTATGTATGTATATACAAAAAAATATATATCTAATTATTTATATTGGTAACACAAGCTCTGCTTACCGTGGGACTAGATGGCGCTGTGTTAATTGTCCAGGGGTATTTATTTATTTATATCAGTTGTCTAGTACCCATAACACAAGCTCTGCTTACCGTGGGACTAGATGGCGCGGTGTTAATTGTCCAGGGTTATTTATTCTTATCACTGTCTCTTTAACTCAGCTTTTGCTGGTTTTTTACGCTTTATAGCGTATACTAGCTTTTGCCCGCAGCTTCGCTCGCGTTAAGGGATGAAATTTATCAAAATCCTTTTTTAGGGGATGCCTACGTCATAGTAGCTTCATGAATACAAAATCTCAGCCCGATCCGTTTAAAATTGACAAAGTTTCCTACAAACTTTCATCCCCTCTTTTATCCCGTTGGGGCGTAGAATGAATGAAAATCCTTTCTTAGCGGATGCCTACGTCATAACATCTACCTGCATGCTAAACTTCGGCCCGATCCGTCCAGTGGTATGGGCTGTGCGTTGATAGATCACTATGTCAGTCACCTTTGAGTTATATATATATTTAGATATACCACACTATATTATTATTATTATATATATATTATATCTCCCTTATTACGGGGGCAATATATTCAAACACGCGGGCCTTAGCCAAGCATGGATGAGTTATGTCATGAAGATAGAAATTTTCTTACTATTCGGCATGTGTTTAGTATGACGGCTATTTGTAATAGGTCTATTGTAGAGGAGGGGATATGCAACGTGTCTAGGTGTTTGTTCAGGCTTTTTGGTATAACTCCTGTGGATGACAAAACTATGGGTACTATGTGGATGGTGTGTGCTTTCCATTGTTTTTTTAATTCTATTGCTAGATCTGTGTACTTTGTTAGTTTTTCATTGACTGTGTTTTGTATATTGTGTGTGTGGGATGGCTATTATTATTATTATTATTATTATTGATAGTTTTTTTTTAATATAAATGTAATTGTCAATAATAATTAATTTTAGACTGTATATATATACGTACTTGCGATCAATTTCCAATAAAGCAATGTCGTTCCTTTGCCTCGGTGGCCTGAAGTCAGGGTGTCTCATGATCCTCTTCACATTGTATATCAACTCTTCATTCTTGAGATCTGAGCGTATCACTCCGAAAGCTGCATATTTTACTTGGCCTCTGTAATTTTTTTATTTTCATGCTTAAATACTGTAATAGGGTGAAGTGAATTGTACTTATGTGTATTGTATAGTAATGTGGACTAATAACCCCATTGCTAGCAGTGGACCATGTCAGATTGACCTCCACGCGGTTCCCCCTGAATACCATCATGATTAAATTCCTGGTACATTTACCACGATGGGTTGACAGAACTGATCTCTTGACGTTGAGCGTTCACCTCCACGTGGTTCCCCTGGACACCATCGAAATAGAAATAGAAATAATCTTTATTCAAATAAACTCATTAGAAGCACCTTTGAATAGTCATATGATGATATATGATGATTGTACCACTCATGCGGAACGCAGATTCATCACAAGAAGAATGAGCAAGAAACTTGTGTGTTGCTCTTTTTAATAGATGTCTTTTTATATAAATAATTACAGTATAACAAGTAAGGGGCATGCGATAATCAACATAGAAATCGCTACGCACTCACCCAGAATTTATCACGATGATTTACACTAATAATAGTGTAAATCATCGTGATAAATTCTGGTAAATTTACCACATTGGGCTGATAGACCTGACCTCTCATCTTCCACTGGTGCCCCGCCATCATAGACCGTTACCGCAGGTAAAAGCACCATTCCATTATCATCCATTAAAAATACTGTTTTGTGTAATTCCACACATAGTATCTATTACATCACATATTTAAATTACTGGTAACCCAAAATAAGAAGAATAATAAGAATTAACAAGAATAATACAAACAATTATAAATTTAAATATACACATACAAACATACACACCCATCTATATTTTATCATCTGCTTCATCCGAATCCCATTCATTTATGGTCGCCGTAATATGTTTTTCTCTCGTCCATTCATCCCTGCTCGCAGCCATTTCTTTATTCACTCCCTTTCTCACCATATCATCTTTTACACAGTCCACCCATCTCGTTTCATCCAAGTCGTATCCGTCGGGCAGGAGTTGGCCTTCAGCCGCTCCATAAGTCCTTCCGCGGGTTTGGAGTGCCATCTGCACTCGCCCCATAACGTCCGGTGAAGCTGTAAAGGCCAGCTACGGCCAACAGCATTAGAGTAGTCCGAAAAAAAAAATTTCCCCTTCAGTACACCAAATACTCACAAGCAAGCATCAGTCCACACTCAATCATCGTGTACTCAATATATCAAGTTGGAAAGCAGCCCGGATTTATAATTTATAAAATTGAAAATTCAAATTCAAAAATCATTTATTCATGTAGGACATTTTCATTTTCATTGTAGGACAAATTCAAAAATCATTTATTCATGTAGGACCCTACCGTCCAGTTCATTATATAGATCCAATTGAGAAGAACTGACAGGAAACTCAATTGTATTTACTTTTTTTTTAAAGCCAGTTTATGTTTATGTATTTTTATATAGGTGTCTATGTCTAACATTAAATGAAAATCCAGTGCATGAACAACTATTGCCATGGACGTTTGTCATTTAAGTATTCGTTTAGTGAGTCAAAGGCCTTGCTCAGTAAATATGATTTAACAGATGTTTTGAATTTATTTAATGGTAATTCCAGTATATCCTTTGGTATCTTATTGTAAATTTTTATACCTATTCCCATAAAAGACCTATTAACTTTTTCTAAACGATACTTGGGGACAGCAAGTTTGTCTTTAAATCTAGTATTAATATTATGAATATCGCTGTTTTTTGGAAATAAGTCAAGATTTTTATATATACATCATAGCATCCAGATTGTGTGGGTCACAGCAGACTCATACAATCATACATTAAAAAAATTGACTCACGTACGCGGCCCTCCGGCGCAGTGCCCCGCCGTGATGACAAACCGGCGGCTGATCAGACTACCTTCACACAGCCATTGCGCTGATGTGATGTTCTCACCATATCCAAGATGGACCTATCAAATGCAGTCACTATCACTTACCGAGCCACACTTTTGTGGGGTCGGCAAAAATAATTATAATAATAATAATCTCAGGACAATTTACACAGCGCCATCTAGACCCAAGTTAAGCTAGCTAAAGCTTGTGTTATGGGTACTAGACAACTATACATAGATATTTTTTTCCGTAAATACATACATATTATACATAAAAAACACCCAGACCGATACAAACAATCATATTCATGAATGTTTGTGCCGTGCGAGGAATCGAACCCGCGATCATCGGAAACTAAAGCTGTGCGCTAAACCACTAGACCACCGAGGCTGTCACAATGACTCTGACTACTCCATCAATAATAACAGTCGTGAAGTTATCTTACTATTAGCGATACTACAATGAAAGTACAAGGAAAACATGACTCGCAAGTAGGCTACAGCCTACCGCCTTCTATTGGAGTAATGTGATTTCTTTCAAATATACCAAGCGAAATGTGGACATGTCAAGTGTTGCTTTCACAACATCGACAGTTGACAGACAACTGATACAAATATATATTTTTTTCGTTAATACATACATATTATACATAGAAAATACCCAGACCGATACAAACAATCATACTCATGAATACAAATGTTTGTGCCGTGCGAGGAATCGAACCCGCGACCATCGGACGTAAAGCGGTGTGCTAGACCGCTAGAGGTCGTCACAATATACAAATAAAATAGACCCTCAACTAATAATTAGTATATTTAAAGTAATTGATATTAACAATAGATTATCTTAAAAAATATATATATGCAACAGAATGAGTACAAAGTTCTCACCATACAAGGACCTATTGGAGTCTTAGCTAACCTTCTTATCGAAGCAACTTGTTTGAAAGGTCTGAGGGAAAATAGTAACATTTCTTTTTTTTTTAATCTAAATGTTCACTATTCACAATAATACGCACGGCAACATTATCGCGATATCCAATGCAATGTAAATAATAAAAAAAAGTAAAAAAATAAAAAGAGATTACGAGGGTGGGAGTCGTTTCGCCTTTGTCGTTGTCGAAAAAAGTGTTCTGATGATCGCTGTCGTAATTGTCGATATTTTATATAGATTTCTTAACTAAATATTCTTAACGAAATAATAAAGGAACGCAAGAGTTGATACTAGAAAGCACCTATTGTCGGTTTTGGCGGTAAACAGGTAACCCGTTCAAAAGGTAAGTTCGGACAAGCCCGGAGTTCTGGGAAGCCTTGCTGAAACCGAACCGGCAATCCATCGCAGTACAAGGTGAGTGCCTTCCAATTTATCAATTTCTTGCTCAAATCCAATTGTCGTAAATACAGTCCACTAAAGACGGCTGAATTCAAAATTTTACGTTAGCTGTTTTCATAACACTAAATTTATTATGGGGTTTTGTTTTTAAACATGTAAACTCCATTATTACAAACTAATCGTAACGATTCTTAAAAAATATTTATTTATTTATTTATTTATTGACGTCAAACTACGCGAACCTTCCCGCTTCCCAATATGCTCGCATAGGAAAAAAATTACAAAATATGAAATATTAGTATAAAAGTATGATTGTTTGTATCAGTCTGGGTGTTTTCTATGTATAATTTATAATAAAATAAAAAAAACATTATAATAAGTAATAGGAGTCGGGGCCCAGGGCAAGGGTCGAGACTCACGTCATAGAGGTCGATACCCACAGCATAGGGGAGAGTCGGGACTCATAGGGTCAAGAGGAGTCAACACACCAACAACACATAAGCAATTTTATGCTTAAAAGTACACTCCAATAGTTGTTCTAAATAAATACTCGATGACGACCTCGGTGGTCTAGCGGTCTAGCAAACAGCTTTACGACCGATGGTCGCGGGTTCGATTCCTCGCACGGTACCAACATTCATGAGTATGATTGTTTATATCGGTCTGGGTGTCTTCTATATATACTATGTATGTATTTATAAAAAAAAATATCTATGTACTTGTATCAGTTATCTAGCGTCCATAATACAAGCTTTAGATAGCTTAACTTGGGACTAGATGGCGCTGTTTCAATTGTGTTCCATACATATAAATGTTTGTGTCGTGCGAGGGAACGAATCCGCGACCATTGGAAGTAATTAGGTATGCTAAATTGCTAGATGACCGAGGACAAATTCAAAATATCTTTATTCATGTAGGTCTATTACAGACTCTTATGATACGTCAAATCTACCGTCAGTTCGGAATGATTTCGAGATGAGAACTGACAAGAAACTCAGCTCGTATTCTTTTCAAATTAATGTTATACATGTTTACAATAATACAGATTCATTTTTAAATTCAAATTTGGGAGAATAGAGTGACCATGAGTATATGTTACTGCAAAAGCAAATACTCTAATCAGTGTTCGTTACCCGAACAGACCACAAGCAGCACCCGTTCACGAGTATGATGGATGAGTTGTCAAATTTCAAATTCTGTTTATTTACCACATGACTGAATGGATTCCGTTCAGCATGAGCTCCAGATATTTCAGCTCCATCAGCAGAGGTATCAGCACTATGTTTACCACAGGAACACAACTGTTGTTGGTATTCCATACATTCTGCAAAACGAATAAATCTTATATATAAAATTCTCGTGTCACAGTTTTTGTTCCCATACTCCCCCGAAACGGCTTGACCGATTCTCATGAAATTTTGAGAGCATATTGAGTAGGTCTGAGAATCGGCCAACATCTATTTTTCATCCCCCTAAATGTTAGGGGTAGTCCACCCCTAAATTTTTATTTTTTAGACAAAATTTTTAGTTTCTTTTGTTTATGATACAACATACAATCCTAAATTTTCACCCTTCTATCATCAACCCCTATTTTTTATAGCGTTATTAATTTATATGGCAAAACAACGTTTGCCGGGACAGCTAGTAATACATAAATAAATAAATAACCCTGGACGATTAACACTCATAACCTCATCCTTCTAAATATTACACCGATTCTTTTACTCTATAAGCTATTCGTTTCTGGAACTCCTTACCATTTCCCATCCGATTAGCACAATCACATGGTATTTTTCAAAAATTATTAAAATCGCATTATCTCTCCCTATAATAGAATAATATTACGTCCTCTCGTCCATTATTATGAAGTATATTGTATTTATTGGTGTGTAAGTTTATTTATTTATGTTTATAAAAGGTATGTTTATCTATAATTGTATAATAAATAGAGTGTTCAGTGCGCTCCCTACCTTCTCTCTTTATGTAAATACTCTCTGTTAGCACCGGGTTGTCTGTAAGAGATTGCTGAAAGCGATAAGACCGCCTTTTGTAAAACATTTATTGTCATTGTTTTGTACTTGCTGTCCTATGTTTATGTATGCGCAATAAAGAGTTATTATTATTATTAACACAGCGCCATCTAGCAAAGCCAAGTCCAAGCTAAGCAGAGCTTGTGATATGGGTACTAGACTACTGATATAAATACTTACATTTTTGTAAATACACATATAATATACATAGACCGATACACATAATATTTTTTTGTATTTGCACCGTGCGAGGAATCGAACCCGCGACCACCGCGGAAGTAAGGCGGGGTGCTAAACTGCTACTACACATTTTTTTCTTTGATATACATAAATGAAATGGCTGCCAAGCTGACGGTCTACTTGATGGTAAGTGGTAACCGTCGCCTATATACATGAACAGCACTAGAAACATTACGTCAGGCCTGAATATGGTGCCGATCTGAAGGACTACGAGGTCCGGTCTCCATACACTGTAATTTCACTGGCCATATTCCTCAACAAACTGCCTATAAACTCATATTCTCCTGGTACTTTTAATCGCTTCAACTACTTTATTTTGTCATTGCAATGACAAATAAACTGACGTACCACCTGATGGTATGTGGTAACCATCTCCTATATACATCAACAGCACTACGGACATTACCTCATCATGTGACCTTTACGGTGCCGATCTGTAGGACTACGAGGTCAGGTCTCCATACACTGTAATTAACTGTCTATAAATTCATATTCTCCTGGTATTTTTAATGTAATTTGGCATCATTATTTTTTTGTCCTTGTAATGACAAACAAGCTGACGTACCACCTGATGGTAAGTGGTAACCATCTCCTATATACATCAACAGCACTATGGACATTACGTCAGACCTGAATATGGTGCCGATCTGAAGGACTACGAGGTCCGGTCTCCATACACTGTTATTTCACTGGGCATATCCCTCAACAAACTGCCTATAAACTCATATTCTCCTGGTACTTTTAATCGCTTCAACTACTTTATTTTGTCATTGTAATGACAAATAAAGTAACGTACCATACCACCTGATGGTAAGTGGTAACCATCTCCTATATACATCAACAGCACTACGGCATTACGTCATCATGTGACCTTTACGGTGCCGACCTGAAGGACTACGAGGTCAGGTCTCCATACACTGTAATTAACTGTCTATAAATTCATATTTTCCAGGTACTGTTAATGTAATTTTGTTTTATTTATTTTTTGTCGTTGCAATGACAAATAAACTGACGTATCACCTGATGGTAAGTGGTAACCGTCGCCTATATACATGAACAGCACTACGGACATCACGTCATCACGTGACATCCATTTTCCAGAAACTGTTCCTCACGCACAACCACATAGTGGAATCACCTTCCAGCAATGGTATTTCCGAACCGATACGATATTGAAACCTTCAAGAAAAGAGCTTATTCTTTCTTAAAACGACAAAGACGAAACTTGGGACATAGATAGTCTAGACCCTGAGAAAGGACATATGCTACTTTTCAATGCATAAAAATGGTTCTTAGTAATTGAAAGGGGATATGAATGTATTGTCATTTACAAAGCTAGAAGTTTTAAACTTGAGGCTGTTGATTAAATATAAATAAATATGACATAGGAAAGTAGGGTATGAAAATTTGTATGGAACATCGTCATTTCCTAGAACGTTTATCGTTCTAGGTACTATAATGATGACAAACATTTTTCTTTGGCTTTTTAGAGTCAGATCATAGAATATTTTTTCTTAATTTGGTCAAGATCTTGCAATTTACTTAAAGTTTCTAAATTCGGTTTCACTTTAAAAATATCTGATAATACTGCCAATGACGTCCAAAAAAACTCACTGTTCAAAGTCGTCCATCCAGTTTCCCTCCATCGCTTCGGATCGATGGACAAAACGCAGCCGTTTTCGTCTGTATATTTTTTTCTGAAAAGTAAAATGTACTTTTACCCATCATTTACAATAGGTTTTTATTTTATTTATTTAAACTTTAATGCACAAATCTTCTATATATATAAAAATGAATTGCTGTTTGTTACTCTCGCTAAAACTCGAGGACGGCTGAACCGTTTTCGCTAATTTAGTTTTAAAATATCGTAGAAGTCCAGGGAAGGTTTAAACGGTGGTAAAATATGAAGAAATTGCATGTAAAATAGTAGAAACAACAATTTTATTTGCCGATACAATCTGTTCGCACCTGTCAAACAGGGTTCGTTCAAAATTCAAATTCAAAATTCAAAATATCTTTATTCATGTAGGTCTATTACAGACTCTTATGATATGTCAAATCTACCGACAGTTCGGAATGATTTCGAGATGAGAAGAACTGACAAGAAACTCAGCTCGTATTCTTTTCAAATAATAGTGGAACATGTTTATGATAAATACAGTTATTAAAATTCAAATTTGGGAGAATAGAGTGACCGCCAGCGTATGCTATCGCAAAGAACAAAAAAATTAATCAGTGTTCACAACCTGAACAGACCAGTCCCTACAAGCAGCACCCGTTCACGAGTATGACGTATGAGCCAGCCATCATTGTACTCAACCATATTTGAGGGAGCACATCGACCCGGCCCACCACGCCGCCACAAGTTTGAACTTTATAGCGAGCATGACTGTTTCAGGTTACTCCACTACGTCAATTATATTATTTACAGCATAGGCTGTACCGATCACAGTTTTCACCCATTACAATATTTAATTTATTACAATATGTCATTACAAAATTTATAAGTTTCTTTAAGGTTATTAAATTATCTATGTCAATGGGAAAAATTATATACCTACCTCATAACAAAAGTTAAAATTGTAATTAAGTCCACGCATTGTAGTCATTCAAGTAGTCGTTTATTTTATAATAAGCTTTAGAGCAAAGTGTTTTTTTTACATGTATCTTAAATTTGCTTCACTTAAATTTAAAACACTATCTGGCAATTTATTATAAAAACGTATACAATGTCCCATGAAAGATGTACTTAGTTTTCTGAGACGATAACTAGGCATATTTAATTAGTTTTATTATATTGTTCTTCTTGTGATGAGACAGTATTCCGAAAGAGCGGTAGATTAAAAAAAAATTTGATGAATATTATAAATTGCTTCAATGTAAGTTTATTTGAATAAAATTATTTCTATTATATTCTCCTCAGAGTCTAAAGTCGTATCCGTCAGACGGAAGTTGGCCTTCAGCCGCTCCATAAGTTATTCCGCGGAGTGTCATCTGCACTTGGCCCCTATCGCCCGATGAAGCTGTAAAGGCCAGCTGCGGCCGGCATTAGAGTAGTTGGAAAAAGTATGTTTATTACCTTACTACTCCAGGTGTGCCGTTAAATATGAGAGTATCGTCACAGCAGACGAAGATATCCAATGCATCCTTGCCAAATGAACAAATCTACAGACAAAACACATATACAATTTTAAGAAATCCTTACTATTTACTTACATAATTCAGTCAACTAATGGCCCATATCATAAATAACTTACAGACTAATACAGACTTGAAGATATGAAATCTAAATATGTATAACTCAAAGGTGACTGACGTAGTGATCTATCAACGCACAGCACAAACCACTGGACGGATCGGGCTGAAACTTGGCATGCAGGTAGATGTTATGACGTAAGTCTCCGCTAAAAAGGATTTTGATTAATTCTACCCCCAAAGGGATAAAATAGGGGATGAAAGTTTCTATGAAACTTTGTCAATTTTAAACCGATCGGGCTGAGACTTTGGATGCATAAAACTACCATGGCATAGGTATCCCCTAAGAAAGGATTTTGATAAATTCCACCCCTAAGGTGCTAAATTAACACGAGCGAAGCCGCTGGCAAAAGCTAGTTATAAATAACTTACAGACTAACACAGACATGAAAGATATTAAATCTATACGTATAAATAAAATTGGAGTGTCTGTTTGTAATATTGAAATAACCGTTTTGAACTACGTACTTATGAATATAAATACGGTACATACACCAAAATTACATTTTTTACCATTTTTGCTTAGTAGCCTATGATTAAAAATGCTATACAGACTCACCCTTCCACACGGACGAAGCAACTTTATAATATATTTTTTTAATATATATATCAAAATATTGCCTATTGCTTTCTATGAGGGCAGAGAGCCCTTTTTATCCAGGGGGTAAGCCTTAGATAAATCTACCTCTGGAATGAAGTCGCAGGCACAACTAGTAAAATAAAACTCACTTTTGGCCGATGCCCATTCTTAAAAGCTGTTGCCGCTTCTGTACATTTTGCTATATGTTTACAAAAACCCATACGTCCATCGCCGACTTTGCAGCTGTCTCCTAAAAAAGTAAACAATAATTCACCAGACAACTTATAGCAGATATGAAGATTACTACTATGAAATTGATTTATTGGAAATTGATCGCAAGTACGTATATATATCATCATCATCATTGCCTTGCCTTTATCCCATTATTTGGGGTCGGCGCAGTATGTCATTCTCTTCCACTGCTCTCTGTCGGTCGTCATAACTGAGCATACTCTTCTTTTGTTCATATCATCTTTCACACAATCCATCCATCTTTTCTTAGGGCGTCCCCTCCCTTTACATCCATCCACATTCATATTATACTCGACTATACTATTGACGACCTCGGTGGTCTAGCAGTCTAGCACACCGCTTTACGACCGATGGTCGCGGGTTCGATTCCTCGCACGGCACAAATATTTGTATTCATGAGTATGATTGTTTGTATCGGTCTGGGTATTTTCTATGTATAATATGTATGTATTTAGGAAAAAAAAAATTATCTATGTATTTGTATCAGTTGTCTAGGACCCATAACACAAGCTTTAGCTAGCTTAACTTGGGTCTAGATGGCGCTATGTGAATTGTCCTGAAAAAAAAATATTACTGGAAAATATATTTATATTCTAAATATAAATAGAAATAATCTTTATTCAAATAAACTCATTACAAGCACTTTTGAATAGTCATATTTTGATTCTACCACTCATTCGGAATGCAGATTCATCACAAGAAGAATGAGCAAGAAACTTGTGTGTTGCTCTTTTTATTATATGTTTTTTTTACATAAATAATTGCAGTATAACACGTAAGAGGCATGCGATAATCAACATAGAAGTCGCTACGCACTCATTATTAATGTAATCAGATAATATTGTCAGTGCTATGGATTTAAAGTTTTTCTATAAAAACATTATTATCGTTAACGAATTCTTCAATTTTATAGTAAGCTTTTTTGCAAAGAAACTGTTTTATTTGACATTTAAATCTTTTTTCTGGCAGATTTATAACAGACTCTGGTATTTTATTGTAAAACCTTATATTGTAAAATCATTTACTTAATGTATTTACATTATTTTGTTTAATTAAGCTACCATTATCATGTGTGAGACCACAAATATTCAACGCAGAAACCTGACCACCGCTAGCGTTACGGCCATCTCTATTAGTAATCCAACGTTATTGAGTCTACGCATATATGCTATTAATATATGTATATACTAGCTGTCCCGGCAAACGTTTTTTGCCTTAATTAAAAAAAAAAAAAAATAGGGATGGACTACCCCTAACATTTATGGGGATGAAAAATAGATGTTGACCGATTCTCAGACCTACTCAATACGCTCACAAAATTTCATGAGAATCGGTCAAGCCGTTTCGGAGGAGTATGGGAACGAAAACTGTGACACAAGAATTTTATATATAAGATTTACATCGGTGGGAGAGTATTATTAGTGATGTGGACTGACGATACCATTGCTAGCAATGTACCATGTCTGGTTGATCTCCACGCGGTTCCCCTGGAAACTACTGTGATAAATTTACCTGACTTCTTGTTCATCCCCTCCCCTCCCCACTACTTCTGGCACTGACTACCATAGACACTAGCATAGGATGATATGAAGTCAAGGGGAGAAATCAGGGATGATCCCCTATCATTCTACGCTAGTGCCCCGCCAGCATAAACCGTTAGCGCAAGCGGGTTCACCATTCCATTATCATCTACAAAAAAAATGTATTTATATTATTTTGTTTAATTCCGCTACCTCAAGTGTGAGACCACAAATATTCAGTGCGGAAACTTGACCACCGCTACTGGAAGCGTTACGGCCTCTATCAAATTCAGACCGTTTTTATTTTTTACTCAAAATTTCTGACTCCATAATCCCTTGTTATAAAGTGTTACATTTCTATCGCCCCTTAAGGGAGGGGAGCTCCCTTAATGGGGTTAATATTTAACGTATTTTATGGCCCCTGATAGGCGGCTTCAGTGGAGGAGAGCTCCCTTAAGGGGGTTAATATTTAACGTATTTTATGGCCCCTGATAGACGGCTTCAGTAGTCCAACAGTTTAGAATACAGCTTTACTTCCGATGGTTACGGGTTCGATTTCTCACAGGATACGAATCACACCACCACTCCTGATGGTAAATGGCAACCGTCTATATACATGAACAGCACTATGGACATCACGTTATCATGTGACACCTGTGATACTACTCATTCGTCGCCATTCCAGAGTACTAAGATGTCACGCCTCTAATTCTGTAATTTCACTGCTTAATCTGCACCCTACAACCGAAACAGCTTACAAAGCAAGCTGTTTGGCTGAAATAGGTAAGACTGAGGTTACACACAGACGAGTTTTTGCAGTCTACTTCTGATAAATAATATCTAACATTACCCGCCTTTGTGGGTACTTTGATTATTATAATATGGGACGTACTTAATTAGAATGATATTAGAAATAAAGCAATCATAGCTCAGCACAGTTGTTTGATTGACGTCACCTTTATACGAACATACATAACAGCCTTAACTAAAATATCATCCTGATCATCTGGATGAATTGCGGTCTTCCACTGTACGATTTTATAGAAACTGTCCCCACGCACAACCACATTGTGGAATCACCTCCAGCCATGGTATTTCCGAACCGATACGATATTGAAACCTTCAAGAAAAGAGTTTATTCCTTCTTAAAAGTCCGACAACGTACTTGCAATTCCGCTGGTGTTGCGGGTACTCATGGGCGGCGGTAATCACTTACCATCAGGTGAGACGCGAGCTCGTTTGTCCCCAGTGTTATCTAAATATATATAAATCAAAGGTGACTGACATAGTCCAGTGGTTTGGGCTGAAATTTGGCATGCAGGTAGATGTTATGACTTAGGCATCCGCTAAGAAAGGATTTTGATTAATTCAACCCCCAAGGGGATAAAATAGGGGATGAAAGTTTGTATGAAACTTTGTCAATTTTAAACCGATCAGGCTGAGAATTTGCATGCATAAAGCTACTATCACGTAGGCATCCCCTAAGAAAGGATTTTGATAAATTCATAAGGGGATAAATTAACGCGAGCGAAGCCGCGGGTAAACGCTAGTAAAATATAATTATCATTACTACAAAACTATTATTAATATAAAACCTTTCGTGCACTAACCTTCAGATAAGTTCAATGTATCGCCATTAACAAAGACAAGCAGGAAAACTAAATTAAATATTAAATTCCACATTCTTTCAACAAATATTTAATTAAACGATATAAAAGAATATGCACAATAAATAAATTTATATTTTAATAAATATAATTTTATTATTAAACAAGTGTGTGTTCTTGAGGAAATATTGATTGTATGTGAGAGATCCTACAAGATCGGTGAAATATAAACTTCCTTATAGATCCAGTCTTGCGTTTAAGGAAAAATAAATTAGATACTGATTGTAGGCACCTATGTTAATCTTATATCTTATATTTCGTGGAGTATCATCATTACATAATCGCTATCGCCGTCTGTCCGTCCCTATATATGCTTAAATCTTCAAAACTACGCAACGGATTTTGAAGCGGTCTTTTTTAATAGATAGAGTGATTCAAGAGGAAGGTTTATATATGTAATACATGTACACCCAGGCGAAGTAGAGGCGAGTAGCTAGTAATGAAATATAACATAGAAGGAGATCTTCGTTTCTCGTGTAGCATTTTTTTAATAGCAAAAATAGTTGAGTTTAAAAAAAATATTAATCTCTCTATATGATATTTACATATAATTAAATATATGAGAATGAAACTTTTTGGGAGGTGCGCCTGGATGTTTAGACGTAATACATCTCGGCCGACGGCACTCCAGCGCAATGCGATGCGCTAGAAATCTATGTTATAAAATAGATCACTTGCTATTAAAAGTATTTTATGTATATCATATTTTTTTGTATTTATATCATCATCATCATCATCATCATCTCAGCCCGGAAGACGTCCACTGCTGAACATAGGCCTCCCCCAAAGATCTCCACGACGATCGGTCCTGCGCTGCTCGCTTCCAATGCCTTCCAGCGATCTTGACTAGATCGTCGGTCCACCTTGCTGGAGGCCTTCCCACACTGCGGATTCCGGTCCGCGGTCGCCACTCGAGGACTTTACTGCCCCAACGGCCATCTGTCCTACGAGCTATGTGCCCTGCCCATTGCCACTTCCGTTGCAATTCTTCGGGCTATGTCGGTCACTCTGGTTCTTCTGCGGATCTCCTCATTTCTGATTCGATCACGCAGAGAAACTCCGAGCATAGCCCTCTGAGGGACTTTGACCTTATTCATGAAGGCCCTAGTTGGCGACCACATATTTATATAGTGTAACTAGCTGTCCCGACAAACGTTGTTTTGCCATATAAATTAATAACGCTATAAAAAAATAGGGGTTGATGATAGAAGGGTGAAAATTTAGGATTGTATGTATTTTTTTATGTTGTATCATAAAAAATTAGAAACTAAAAATTTGACTAAAAATTCAAAAAAAAAAATATAGGGGTGGACTATCCCTAACATTTAGGGGGATGAAAAATAGATGTTGGCCGATTCTCAGACCTACTCAATACGCTCACAAAATTTCATGAGAATCGGTCAAGCCGTTTCGGAGGAGTATGGGAACGAAAACTGTGACACGAGAATTTTATATATAATATATATGTATGTATCTATGTTTAATACTACATCATTATGTGTTAATATATGTATAAGTAGGCTACAACTGTGTGTGTTTGTTCATTTTTCTCATAAAAATGGATGTACCTAGGAATTATATTTTTTTTATTTTGCATGAGTTACTCAATATAGTTACTCGTATACACTAAAGTTGTGAAATTGTTCCTTTTTTTTTATACTATGATGGTGGCAATCAAGCATACGGCCCATCTGATGGTAAATGGTTACCGTAGCCTATGAACGCTTGAAACACCAGGGGTATCACGTGCGCGTTAAGAAACGCTAAACAAACAAACTTCCCCTATAGTGGCTATTAATTTTTTTTAATTTTCAACACGCTATATTCAAAATCATACAACCCATATTTGATTCAATAACCGTATAGATATTTTATTTACTATTGTCATTTGATCACCGTCAATAGATGTGACCTACAGATATAAATACGTACCATGTCGCAGGCAACACTAGTACATGTTTTAACGGTATCGGTAGTCTAGCGGTGTAGCACAGCGCCTTACTTCCGATGGTCGCGGGTTCGATCCCTCGCACGGCAAACATTTATAAATTGCCAAACAGTTTTCTTGGTTCCTTATCCTACCAGACTCATTGAAACCGTATATTGGGTAACAACGGTGTATACAATTTCATATCAAATTCGTTATTTTAAGATGTTCCATTTTTTCACATATTGCTCGAAACAGTATTATAACTTGCTCTGCTCATTGCCAGACCCTTAGTGTGGTTCCAATCCCCCCCGGACCCCCCTAAACTATACTATTTTATAAATAAACTTACCTCATTTTAATAAAGTCGAACTTTATATATACTATTGAGAGAACTATAAGGGGGTCCGGCGGGGGGTTGGAACCACATTAAGTATCTGGCAATGAGCAGCGCAAGTTATAATAATGCTACGAACAATGGTCGCGGGTTCGATCCCTCACATGACAAACATTTATTATATTCATAAGAAAGATTGTATCGGTCTGGGTGTTTTCTATGTATAATATGTATTTACGAAAAAAAATCTATGTATTTGTGTCAGTTATCTAGTGCCCATAACACAAGCTTTAGCTAGCTTAACTCGAGTCTAGATGGCGTTGTGTGAATTGTCCATAGATTATAATTATTATTGGAGATAGACAACGAGTGTATGAATCATCTTTGTAAGGTAAGAAGAAGGCAAACAGGATAGAGAGTGTGTGATAGCCAGAATTAAGTAATGACAAATACAAAAAATAGAAATAGAAATAATATTTATTCAAATAAACTTAATATAAGCACTTTTGAATGGTCACATTTTATTTATTCTACCAAAGAAGTGTATTATGGAATATAGGTGCGATTGGTTATTATTTATTTATTAATCCGACACAATATAAATTGTCTAGGATAACATACATCGCCTAAAACATAATAGTAACTTAAAAGTAATTTAGTATTAATGAAAATAGTGATAGTACCTCATTTTCTCTCCATTATTTGTCGGCCATCCGCATAACAAATTTATAAATTCTTAACAATAAGATGACAGGCCACATTCTATTTTCAAATATTCTTATATACCTCGCCTGCAATACCAGCCAGTTTTAATACCAGTAACGTAGGAGGAAACAAAAAAAAACTTTAAGACGAAGTGATTACTTGCTCATTGGTTATAATATAATACTCTAAAATGACTGACACTGGTCGTTGGCACTGGCCGGGTGAATGTTAGGGCCTTGGGGAGAACCTCTTTGCTCCGACATCAACTCCAGCAGCAACCTGGGGGTTGTTGCTGCTGGAGTCGATGTCGGCCATAGTCTTACCCCAATTAGGGTAAGCTACTGGCCATTTCACGTAGCCATTACTGCGGTTCAGGCGCTGTTTTTTCATTGTCAGGCCCATGAGAGGTCATATACGAGTTTCATACTTAGACATTAATATTTTTTATTTTATTTTTGTTTTCGTTATTTTTTACTCCAAAGTAAAGAAAAATCCAGTTTAAAAGAATAACTAAGTAGTAACGTCATTGTCAATATTGTCAATTTGACAGCCTTTGTCATTTGATTTGACGTATAACGTAATTGTATTGTATAATTTGTGTAAATTTGTCATCAACGTACAGAAAATTGTAGATATAATAATTTTCAAATCATTCCACTTATAATTTAATTTGACAAACTGGCATCTAGAAGACTTCTATTGATTGGCTTCCATAACTTCTCACCTCCTGCCGGATACCGTAACAACTTTAATAGGTTAGTTGCTTCTAATATTTCGTATCTTCATGCTTTGTGTTAGACTACGTGAGTAGTACAGCTGTGAAAGGAGTTGCGACGTACTAATTACACTAATTAATACTAATTACTAGTATCGTTACGATATCAGTTAATATATCAGTTGATACGATACCTAGGCCTGTGAGACGCAGAAAAAAGTAAAACATTGCTATTTTCTGTAATAAAACAAGACTGTATCAAAATTCGAGTAAATATTACAAGTAATTTGTTACCAGAATTATTGTTTCTAAGCTGTTTCGGTTGTAGGGTGCAGATTAGACAGTGAAATTACAGGATAAGAGGCGTGACATGTTAGTACTCTGGAATCTTAGTAATCTGCAATGCATGAGTGGTAGTTACATTATAATATTGTGTTCATAAATTAATAGTGCTATTCATGTATATAGGTGACAATCACAACTTATCATCAGGTGGGATGTCAGCTTGTTTGACAAAAGTTTTTGACAAATTTTTTTATTTTTCATTTTTTATTCAATTTTTTATTGATTCAAAAATTATAAGATCTAACATAATATTTAATTAAAAGTTTAAAATATAAAAGAAATATATGTTTTATATTATGAATGAATGAATGAATGAATTCAATTCAATGCCTTTATTGATTGACACAAAGTTATACAATCTAATATAATATTTAATTAAAAGTTTAAAATATAAAAGAAATATTAGTTATATATACTTATATTTTATATTACTTCTAATTCTGCACATCAGTCTCTGAGTCAATGTGTCCTTTAGACATATCTGAACATACTCTTCTTTTATTCATATCATCTTTTTCCATGTTTTCTTATCTTTTACATCCATCCACATGGGCTTTTTTTATTATGTGATGTTAAAAAATATATACAACCACAAATTTTCACTTTTCTACCATCAACTCTTATTTTTTAATATATATGAGAAAACAAATTTTCCAGGACATCTACACACATAGATTTATGTGGCTGTGTGGATATTAGATTTACATACAAAGTTAATTCAATAAATGCTATTTTGCATTGCAGTATGTTTAACTTGTAACTTCCACAACTCCATCTTAAGTGGCGTTGTATCTGAACATTACATTAATTAAGTAACTACTAGTTTTCCCTAAAGACAACAGTATTAATTGACAGAAAACCCGTTATAACAAGTTAAAATTAAAATAAAAATTTTCATATATATATATATAGAAATAAAATATAAAATAAATATTAGTTATATATACATTTTTTGTTACTTCTTATTCTGCAGATCAGTCATCTGAAGTCAATGTGTCCTTTTAAATAAATATTGAACATACTCTTTTAATTATTCAATCATCTTTCACACAATCCATCCATCTTTTCTTACTGCTAGGCACTTAATCTCTGTTCCTTTACATCCATCCACATATCTTTTTTATCCCATTTAGTTGTGATGTTAAAAAATATATATCCATTCATCCCTGTTCGCACAAATTTTTCTTATCTTTTCTACCATCAACTCTTATTTTTTAATATATATGAGAAAACAAATTTTCCAGGACATCTACACACATAGATTTATGTGGCTGTGTGGATATTAGATTTACATACAAAGTTAATTCAATAAATGCTATTTTGCATTGCTAGCCCGCCGCTGTTTTACTTGTAACCCACAACCCATAATTAAGTGGCGATAAGGATGATATGTGAGATTACAGTAATTAAGTAACTATTAGTATTCCCTAATAATGACAACAGTATACTCATAGACAGTCAAACCCGTTTCATTAATACTGTTAAAATTAAAATTAAAATTTTTATATACACATATATATATATTTAAAAAAAATAGTATATATGTATAATATATATAGAAATAGAAATAATCTTTATTCAAATAAACTTAATATAAACTCTTTTGAATAGTCACGTTTTTTTTATTCTACCGCTTATTTGGAATGCAGATTCATCACTTAACTTGGGACTAGATGGCGCTGTGCAAAAAAAGAAAAAAAATTACAGACTCTTATGATATGTCAAATATACCGTCAGTTTGGAGTGATTTCGGGATGAGAAGAACTGACAGGAAACTCAGCTCGTATTCTTTTCAAACAAATGTTGTACATGTTTACAATAATTCAGATTTATTTTTAAAAATCGGTGTATTAAACCGCTAGTGAGAATATTCATCTACACTTTACTCTTTACAGTATAACACACAAACAGAAACGCCTCCATTCCGGAATGACGACCACGCAGTGCGCCCCGCGGCAGCCCCCCGGACGCACCTCATCCCCCCAAACTCCAACCATCAGCCCCGGCGTACTCAAGCGCTATGAGGACATTGTGAAATCGCAAGAAGACAAAAGAGTTTACAGGTATATGTTTTTTTTATTTTTATTCCACCCACGTGGACTTAAATGTGGGAATAAATTACCTGCAGGACCCTCTTCCCCACGGGGCACACTGAGTACGTACCCAGGGCCCCGCGGATTGGGGCCCTGTAGCCTAATCTATGCCTCCTTAAAATCAGTCTTAACCAATGCTTACCGACTATGGTCAATTTGTTCGTTTTTATTATTTTTTTATAAACTTGTAAACTTAGATTATGGAATTAACCTGCCGAGATTTTCTCGACAGTCTAAGTCTGATATACTACGTTTAGATTCAGCCGCTTCCCCTGCCACTCGCGCTGCCGAAAATATAGCTGGGCGACAACTGAACGAGAGGGCGGAATGTAAAAACACGCTGCCACTCGCGCTGCCAGTCCTTTGACTCGCGCACGAAAAACCGACAATCGAGGGAGTGCCGGGTAGCGCGAGTGGCAGCGCCAATGGCATGGGAAGTGTTTCCACTCGTGTTTACACTCTCGCGCTGCTCACTTCCCTGCCCCCTCAGGCAGTAAATTGGCCAATCGTTTACGTAAATTATTAATAACTGTATAATATAAAAAATGTATCTTTGCTCTATAGTCAGCTGTCCGCCATTTTGAATTGATAATTATTACAAAATGGCGCTAAATCACTGTGTATTGTAGTACGAGGAATGCGATCAGTGTTTGCGCGCGCGGTCTCTCTCGTCCTTTATCTACATTTACTTGCACACTCTTTACTGCGTGAAAGTGCGTACGTATAAAAGAAGCTAATGTGCCAACAATTCATGACGGAATAATGCGTTATAATAAGAAATATACAGACCGTCTCTATATCCATTCTAATCTATTGACAGTACAACTCTTGCATTTTTTTTTCGGACTACTCTGATGCTGTTGGCCGCAGCTGGCCTTTACAGCTTCACCGGACGATAGAGGGCGAGTGCAGATGACACTTCAAAGTTAAGGAAGGACTTATGGAGCAGCTGAAGGCCAACTTCCGCCTGACGAATACGACTTTAGTCTGAGGGCACAGCTAGGGGTTCGATTCTCAGCAGAGGCAGTCGTAATTTCACTAAATCACTGTATATTGTAGTACGCGGGAATGTGCACACTGTTTGCGCGCGCGGACTCTCTCGTTCTTTATCTACATTTATATACACACTCTTTCCTGTATATAAAGGCAGTTGTTCTGTATATATTTATACTGTTTATATTGACAGGGGCTTAGTGTTATCAAATCGGCTGAAGGTCCTGCTGGTCAGTGACCCCACTACTGATAAATCTGCGGCAGCTATAGATGTTAACGTGGGTGAGTAATGCTATACTATAACTATTATTATTACTATACCATGTTCACTGCAGCGTGGTGCGGGTGACAGTTTCAGTAACGTTTCACTCTAAAAAGTTGCCGCGATTTCCATTATGACTTAGTATTTTAAGTGTACCACATTCATAATATATTAAATCTATCTAAACATATATAACTCAAAGGTGACTGACATAGTGATCTATCAACGCACAGCCCAAACCACTAGACGGATCGGGCTGAAATTTGTCATGCAGGTAGATGTTATGACGGAATGTCCCTAAGAAAGGATTTCGGCTACCTCAGATAAAATGTATGAAAGTTCGTATGAAACTTTGTCAATTTTAAACCGCGGTGGCTTTATGCATGCATAAAACTACTATTACGTTGCCATACGAATAAATCGATGTTCTAAAAACTCGTTGACAATAGCAATATAATGCACACACGTACCTTGTTCTGCTAATGCCTTTGATGAACATCCACCTTCGGTAGATCCGGTCTATTTTCATTGAATTGACGTGAATTATATTCGGTCGATATTGCAGAGATTTAATATTTAACATAAACGATAGTTACAAACATAAATATTGTAAATAGCGCCATCTAGTCACAGATAGACCGAACTAAGGTTTGTCGTGGCATGGCACTTGTACGACTGCTATTATTATTGCGTTGCGAGTATAAACATCGATATCGATGGAACATATAAAAAAAAACAAAACGATTTTCAAAATTAATCTAAAAGTTATATATACATGTTATGAAATATGACGTTTAGCAAAGCTAAGATATATTTACTCATTTTGTTATTTTCCATAAATTCCACCCCTAATCAGTGCTAAATTAACGCAATGTTTTCGAAATGCTTTCATAGATGGCATTGTCGTCATTTGTATAAATATATATGTCTTTATATTTTCCAAAATAAGCACTTAATATATTATTATTGTAAATTAAACATTTTTTAAGTAAATTAAAAATGGAATAGTGCGCCTGCTATTTCGATAATACTTTACGTATGAAGTGTTGTCATATTATAAATGATAATGATTATCGATTTTTTTGAATAATCGTAACAGGTTTTATTAGCGCACATCTTTTAATGACGTTGTGAAATCCCATTATTTTGTATTATAGCAGTGTTCCGTTTCAAAGAACGGAATATAGTAGTACATTATTAGTGACATTGGTTATTTACATTTGTACTGAAAAATCGATTACATAATAATTTAAATATATATAAACGTCAATACTGGCAACTGAAGATTAAAATAGTATTTAAAAAAGAGACAGCCCAAACCACTAGACAGATCGGGCTCAAATTTAGCAGTTTGTTTTTAACAGGTAGATGTTATGACGTAGGCATTCGCTAAGAAAAAATTATTTTGATTAATTCTACCACCAAGGGGATAAAATAGGGGATGAAAGTTTGTATGAAAAATTTGTCAATTTTAAACCGATCGGGCTGAGATTTTGCTTGTATAAAGCTACTATGACGTTGCCATCCCCATAGAAAGGATATTTGATAATGTAGGTACCCATTTCATAATGTCATAAATTAACTTTTAATGTAGGTACGAAGCCGTGGGCAAAAGCTAGTTAGTCCATATTACTAACAGTCCGCTTCCCCCTGATGACACTATGACATACATACTAAATGTGAACTAAACATGATATTTATTGTATTATTTCAGGTTATCTAAGTGATCCGGATGAATTACCTGGTCTGGCGCACTTCTGTGAACACATGCTGTTCTTAGGAACAAAAAAATATCCCGAGGTAAACCTTTGCATATAGAAATTATGTGTCACGTTGTTTGTCCGCGATGTATATATATATATATATATATATATATATATATATATATATATATTATATCGAGGCAAAAATTCTTCTAATCTAGTAATTAATTATTTCATACATAAAAAAATATTTTAATGTAGGATTCTAATTTAGCAGTCAATAAAAATGTATATAACGTCACACTTTATATATAAAAATAATGCCAAAAATATTAGATGAATATATTTTTAATCACGTTGTTTGTCCGTTCATGGACTTCCCTAAACTACTGAACCGATTTTATACCGCAAATATTGATTATACACAATGTGTTATCAATTTGATCCAACTTGAAAGATAACAGGAATAGCTTAATAATCTCAATTTATAGTATAGTAATATTATTTTATGAACCTTAGTCACAGCAACGTGCTTCTGCTAGTTAGTAGCGCGCCTTCTTTTCTAAAAGCGCGTAATAAAGCAAAAATGATGTAATGACTATTCAAAAGTGCTTCAATGTAAGTTTATTTGAATAAATGATTTTCTATTCTATTCTATTCTATTTATTAATGTAGGACATTTTAGCCGCTTATTACCGTAAATTTTTTTATATTATAGATTTTCCCTACCGTCCAGTTCAGTATATAGATCCAATTGACAAGAACTGGCAAGAAACTCAATTTTTTTCCATTATAATTTTATTTTTTTCCCTACCGCCCAGTTCAGTATATAGATCCAATTGAGAAGAACTGGCAAGAAACTCAATTTTTTTCCATTATAATTTTTTTTCCCTACCGCCCAGTTCAATATATATACTATATATAGATATATATATATATATATATATATATATATATATATATATATATATAGCATTACCGTAAAATTTTATATTATAGATTTTCCCTACCGTCCAGTTCGGTATATAGATCCAATTGAGAAGAACTGGCAAGAAACTCAAATTTTTTACATTATAATTTTTTTTTTCCTACTGTCCAGTTCGGTATATAGATCCAATTGAGAAGAACTGGCAAGAAACTCAAAATTTTACATTATAATTTTATTTTTTTCCCCTATCGTCCAGTTCAGTATATAGATCCAATTGAGAAGAACTGGCAAGGAAATCAATTGAATTACTTTTTAAATAAAGATTTAAGTTCCGTTGATATTGCAGGAAAATGAGTACAACAAGTTCCTCTCAGAACACGGAGGCTCCTCAAATGCATCTACGTCATCAGACCACACCACATACTACTTCGACGTGCTGCCAGAACATTTATCCGGAGCCCTAGATATGTAAGTATTGTTTTTTGTAGATAATGGAACTAATATATGATTTTATACTACCTGACCCGAGCGCCTTCGTCTGCATCAAAATTACTTGACATTTATAATTATTTTTAGTCTGTATTTTGAAGTAAAAATAATAACCTACTCTGTACAACTTTTCATGTTTTTGTGTCTCTATCATGCGAGGAATGGAACCCGCGACCGTCAGAAGTAAAGCGATATGCTAAACTGCTGGACCACCGAGGCCGTAGAATGTGATGTATGTTAAAGTCTACCTCATTCTCTCATCAGTTTCGCGCAATTCTTCATCTCGCCGCTATTCACTGAGTCAGCCACGGGGCGGGAGTTGAGTGCAGTCAATTCTGAACACGAGAAGAACATGTCTTTAGACGGCTGGAGGCTGGACCAGTTGAATAAGAGTACAGCAGCACCCGAGCATCCTTACCATAAGTTCGGAACTGGTGAGTGCACACGAGCATCCTTACCACAAATTTAGAACTGGTGAGTGCACCCGAGCATCCTTACCATAAGTTCGGAACTGGTGAGTGCACACGAGCATCCTTACCACAAATTTAGAACTGGTGAGTGCACCCGAGCATCATGAAATGAATATCAGAATCTGTACATATAAATGTAATTGGAGTGTCTGTTTGTAATATTGGAATAACAGTTTTTTATTACATGCATATGAATTACCAAAAAATCATATTTTTAAATTTTTGTCTCTCTGTTTGTTCCGGCTAATCTCTAAAATGGCTGGCCCGATTTTGACGGGACTTTTTTTGGCAGATGCTGTAATAAGGAGTAACTTAGGCTAGTTTATTTTAGAATTTTTTTTTAGTAAAATAAAGTTAAATTCCATGCGGACGAAGTGGCGCGTACAGTTAGTTTAATATATGAATATATCTAGTGTGGATGATAAAACATCTACATCCTCTGGCATGTATAATGACTTTCATATATGGCGATTTAAATAGCCGATTCCGAAGCAATACCTACGCTCGGGAGAAAGGGGACTGGTAGTAATGTGGACTGATGATCTTATTGCTAGCAATGTACCATGTCAGGTTGATTCCACGCGATTCCCGAGCATCCTTAAACCATCGTGATAAATTCTTGGTGAATTTATCACGATGGCCTAAAATGACTTGAGCTCATGCTCATCTTTTCATCCACTGGTATCCCCGCCAGCGTAAACCGTTGGGGCCGTTCAAGTGTTACGTAAGTCAGGGTTTGGGGGGAGGGGGGATCTTTGCTTTGCTAATTCATCACTCGGTTTTGCTACGTCATCGGTAGTTTTTACTTTTTACACGAATGGAAACCCTCACATTGTCTTTGCTAAAAAAACAATACACTAGTTGCAAAATTTTAATTTTAATTTCGATTAAAGCAAGTCGAACAATGTTTTGTAAACCTATTACTCTCATTTTGCAGTCGTACAATGATAACTTTAATGAATTGGATATATTTAATGTCATATATAGGTTTTAGAAGGTCAGTAATTAATAAACTTAGAGCCTTACGTATACTGTAATCACATAGAATCATAATATAATTCCTTCTCTTTACCTAGTCACACTGATGCACACACATACATACGCGCGCATCAACACACACACCCACCCACACTACACTCATATGTACAAATACACTTTCGCACATACAAATGCATTTTTCCTCGTATCTATAGTAACACCTGTAACACACATATCTTATATCTTTTTTCCTCATTCAACCCACTACATATACACCATCATAATTATAAGTAGAAAATATATTAGTTTGTATGCGTTTAGTTTTGTTAAAGTATTAAGATATGTGGGTGAGGTAATATAATTTGTGATCATGCATGTTGGGTTTACAATAACATAGTACATAGAAAATGTAAAATAATTATAAGTTTCCTAATCGTGAACCTGTTTTTGATCCTAAATAAATAAAAATAAATAAAAAATGTTTACGTAATCATGGCGGGGGGTAAGAGCTTTGCTTACTTTTGCTGACAAGGGGGATGGGGGTGAATAATTGTAATAAATCTGCTTACGTCATACTTGAACGACCCCATAGCGCAGGCGGGTGCACCATTCCATTATCATCCATAAAAAAATACCTAGACTTGAGAATGGATTATTTTTGGAGATTCTAGTTGAGCCATCTTTTATAAAGTTAATTTGTTTTGTAAGTATTAAATTTCTCCGAAGGGAAAAGAGGTATCCAGTTTAATATTTGTTGTATTTCCACCAGGCAACAGAGATACCCTGGAGACGATACCGAAGTCGAAAGGCATCGACGTACGGAAGGAGCTGCTGAAATTCCACCAGCAATGGTATTCTTCGAACATCACCACTCTAGTCGTTATGGGCAAAGGTATGCTCTTCCTTACTAATTATATAAATGCAAAAGTAACTCTGTTTGTCTGTCTATCTATCGCGCTTTCACTTAGGCCATTTTTTCCGGACTACTCTAATGCTGTTGGCTGCAGCTGGCCTTTACAGCTTCACCGGATGATAGGGAGCGAGTGCAGATGACACTCCGAACCAAAGGAAGGAGTCATGGAGGGGCTGAAGACCAACTCCCGCCTGACGGATACAACTTCACAGACTTAAGAACGAAGAACCGGTGCCGCGTGGTCCGATAGGGGCTCAAACCTCGACTTAGGGGGATCGATCGGAGAGGGGTTTTCCATTCGAGTGACCCCAACGTCTAACTGCGTTCTAACCCAACATCTAAGTGCGTCTAACTCTTCCAGAAACCTTAGAGGAATTAGGAACTATAGTGGCCTTTGTTCTCCGCGGTGGAGGACAAGTTTGTAAGAGTGGGAGATCTGGGACATCCATCACTAGGTATCCGAAGCGTCGTAATTTCGGTCCTCGTTTGAACTGGACAGGAAATCTATTGATTGAGTGATCCCAACGGCTAAGTGCGTTCTAACCCAACATCTAAGTGCGTTCTAAATCTACCAGAAACCTTAGACGATTTAGAAGCAATAGTGGATAGCAATAGAACCTCTATTCTCAGCGGTGGAGGACAAGTCTGTGGAATCGCTTGAAAGTGAGCTTTTGCTAGACAGATAAGCTTTTAATCTGACACCACCGCTAGGGGTTCGAACCGTCGTATTATCACTCCCCAATTGAATCAAACAGGGGATCGATCGGAGGGGGATCTCCCAATCGAAGTAACCCCAACATCTAACTGCGTTCTAACCTAATATCTAACTCTTCCAGAGTCCTTAGACGAATTAGAAGCAATAGTGGTGCCTCTATTCTCCGCGGTGGAGGACAAGTCTGTAAGAGTCAAGACTGAAGTGTTTTTATATATATGATTTTAGTCGGGTGGGATTCTAACCGTCTTAATTTCGATCCCCATTTCAATTGGACTGTGGATAGGTCGGGGGATCTCCCAATCGAATGATATCTAACTCTTCCAGAGTCCTTAGACGAATTAGAAGCAATAGTGGTGCCTCTATTCTCCGCGGTGGAGGACAAGTCTGTAGAGTCGCCGCGGTGGGAGGAGCATCCATATCCGGAGAGGCTGCGGCGCAAGCGAGCGTACTGCCTCCCAGTCAAAGATCTAAGATCTCTGTCCATAGACTTCCCCATACCGGATATGAAGAAGCATTACAAAAGTGCCGTGAGTTATATAGTATTTATTAAATAATATACATCTAACTGCCCCCAGCAAACGTTCCCAAATCCCCAATTCCCCAATGTAAGGCAGGTAGATTCAAAAATCGTATTGGAAACTCAAAGGTGACTGACGTAGTGATCTATCAACGCACAGCCCAAACCACTCGACGGATCGGGCTGAAATTTGGCATGCAGGTAGATGTTATGACGTAGGCATCCGCTAAGAAAGGATTTTGATTAATTCTACCCCCAAGGAGATAAAATAGGGGATGAAAGTTTGTATGAAACTTTGTCAATTTTAAACCGATCGGGCTGAGACTTTGCATGCATAAAGCTACTATGACGGAGGCATCCCCTAAGAAATGAATTTGATATATTCCAGCCCTAAGGGGATAAAATAATGCGAGCGAAGCCGCGGGCAAAAGCTAGTAAACCTATAAATTTTGTTGACGATACTGTATTTCTAGGTATCACATTAGGTTCCAAGTTGCAATGGGGTGCTCATATTACTAAATTGGCGAATCGACTTAATTCTGCCGCTTATGCGGTACGAAGAATTAGACAATTAACAGATGTTGTATTGCCATATAAATCTCTATCTCATAAGAATCTCTATTAAAAAATAAAGGAATAAAAAATAAAAGATAAAAATTTAGGGTTGTATATATTTTTAATAAAACATTATAAAAAAAATTGTTCAAAAATATATTTTAGGGGTGGACGAATGGTCCACCTTAGGGGTGTGAAAAATAGATTTTGCCATATAAATTAAAATAGCTATTAAAAATAGGAGTAAATGCTAGAAGGATGAAAATTTAAAGTTGTATGTATATTTCAGTCCTAAATAATAATAACATGAAAAAAAATAAAAAAATATATTTAGGGGTGAATATCCCTTACCACTTAGGGGTAATATTCTCAGACCTACCATAAAAATCAGTCAAGTTGTATCGGAGGAGTATGAAAAATTGTGACACGAGAATTTGATATTTGATATATATAACGAGGGTAGTTCCTCTACTTGGGATTCTCATCAGAACCTACTGAATAAATAATAGTCTGCATGTATAATTGTCTATTAACTCAAAACAAAATAATAAATTTAACAATGTCAAAATGCAAACGGATTGTATCGGAGGATTATGGTAACTAACATTGTGACTCGAAAATTTTAACTATTTGATATACATTATAGTTTGGTAGGTTAATGATTTACTTGTATTTTCTACATAAAAAACTCTCACTTCTTTTGTCATTGAAGTCACCAAACATATAGTTGATAATAATGTTTTTATAGAAAATATCTAACTTAAAATTCATAGCGCTGACAATGTTATCTGATTGAACAGAGATTGAGTGCGTAGCGGTTTCTATGTTGATTGTCGCATGCCTAATCATTGTTAATGTAAATCTAATTAAAAAAATATTTATTTAAAAGAGCAATACACAAGTTTCTTGCTCCTTCTTCTTGTGATGAGTCTGTATTCCGAATGAGCGGTAGAATAAAAAAACTTGACTATTCAAAAGTGCTTGTATTAAGTTTATTTGAATAAAGATTATTTCTATTTCTATTTCGTGGCTCTCATTGCACATTTGTTATTGATGGGATTGTGTTATCAGCCTGGCCACTACTTGTCCCACCTGCTCGGACATGAAGGACCTGGGAGCCTGCTGTCTGCTCTCAAAGCCAGAGGATGGTGTAATAGGTGAGTATTCACTGATCTTATTGCTGGCAATGTACCATGTTAGGTCGACCTCCACGCGGTTCCCCCTGGAAATCATCGTGATAAATTCTTGGTGGATTTGTCAATATGGGCTAACTGACCTGACCTCATGTTCATCTTATCATCCTCCACTGGTGCCCCGCCAGTGTAAACCGTTAGCGCAGGCGGGTGCACTATTCCATTATCATTCACAAAAAAAAAAAGTAGTTTAATATCAAACTAATTTCAGACCTGAATATACATAGTTCATCAAAATCGGTCAAGCCGTTTCGGAGGAGTATAAACACGAAACTTGTGATATGAGAATTTTATATGTTTATACTAGCAGACCCGACCACGCGTTGCTGTGGTTAATAATAGACAAATAATCTATACATATAAATAAAATTGGAGTAAATTGTTTGTAATATTGAAATAAACGTTTTTTACTACATGCATATGAATATAAATATGGTACATACACCAAAATAACATTTTTTACAATTTTTGTCTGTCTGTCTGTCTGTTTGTTCCGTCTAATCTCTGAAATGGCTGGACAGATTTTGATGGGACTTTTTCTGGCAGGTAACAGGTGCTTTTAATTTAGAAAAATAAAGTTAAATTCCACACGGACGAAGTCACGTGTACAGCTAGTAAATAAATATAATTACTAGAAATTTCTCAGTTCACATCCTAATTTTGGTTTTGACTAAACAGTTAATCCTATTGTGTTGCAGTTTAGTCGGTGGATCCCGGATCGGCGCTCGCGGGTTCGGTTTCTTTGGAGTGCAAGTAGATCTTACAGAAGAAGGAGTGAACCATATAGATGATATTATCTACCTAGTGTTCCAAGTAGGTTCTAATAAAAAAATCGGTATTAATATACCGGTTCTTTCCTTTACCGTTTTTTTTAACGGAAACGAATACTAATATTGAAATAATTAAAAACCCAATAAATTTGCTTTTGTCAGGCAGTGAATGACTATTAGATCGGATATACCGGTTAATTCTTGTTACCGTTTTTTAACGGAAATGAGTACCGTTAATAATTAGATATCAGTGTTTCCGTCACTGGAAGAGTAAGTAATATAAATTGTATTTTTTTTAATTCGATGTCACCTAGATGAGCCTATTTATACAGTATTTCGAGTATAAATTAAAAAGAAAGAAAGAAGAAGAAAGAGAATAAGTTAATTATTGGTAACTTCTCCCGCCAGTACATCAGCATGCTGAGGAGCGAGGGCGCTCAGCGTTGGGTGTGGGAGGAACAGCGGGACCTGATGGCCATGGAGTTCAGGTTCAAGGATACACAGGAACCCAGGAGTCTGGTCACGGGCCACGTGCATTTGTTGCAGGTAAACAAATGGGTACACTTGTTATGGACCGTTCATTACTCACGTGATCCTTTTTTAACATTTTAAACCGTGTGTGGGACTCGTACCCACTAAAAAACCACACGGTATACCTCGAGGTGCCGCGGGCCGAAGTCCGGGGTTCGAACTTGGCACTCAACCCAGACTTCGGCGGCTTGGCCTGTCCTGTAGATGTTGTAGGACAGGCCCCCTCTCTCTGGTTAGGGTGCTATGGCTTGCACCCTACCTTCTCATGGAGGCGCGTGGGTACACGCGCGCGCCTCCAGGGGCCTGGTTGTGGGGTGGTGCCTATCGATGTGAACCCTAACAAAATACACGTGATTTTAATACACTTCTCCACCCCCTTGTGATATTTTAACCCCCCGCCCAATACAGACCTCATGTGATTAAAAAAAATTTCAGGAATACCCTATGGAGGATGTACTAAGCGCATACTACTTGATCTCGGAATGGAAGCCGGAACTCATTGACGAGATGCTGTCACTACTAACGCCTGAGAACGTGCGAATAGCAGTTGTAGCAAAGTGAGTATTTTTATAATAAAAATATTTTTTTTAATTAATTTATTTTTTATTTTAAAGAGAAATAAATTCGAGTATCAAATTTGTTATCATTCCATGTATTCATGGTGAGCAGAGAGGGAAACTCCTCTCAGTTCCCGGGACTTGTGACCCGGGTGTAGGTTTAATTTACAAAATAGGTGGCAAACAAACATACGGCCCATCTGATGGTAAACTGTTACCGTAGCCTATACACGCCTGAAACACCAGGGGTGTCACGCGTAGCCGACCCTTAAGAACCCTTAACATACCCTTCTTGAAAACCCCCATACTGCAGTCTCTCGAGAAAACCTCGGCAGGTAGTTCATTTCACAATCTAAGTGTACACGGGAGGAAGGTCCTCTGAAACCGCACTGTCCGAGACCTAAGTGTTCTAGCGTGTGGGGATGAAAATTCATGAGGTCATTGTGGCTCGAGTCTATAAATTTTTGCTTCACGTATTCAATTTCAAATTCAAAATGTCTTTATTCATGTAGGTCTATTACAGTCTCTTATGATATGTTAAATCTACCGTCAGTTCGGAATGATTTCGAGATGAGAACTGACAAGAAACTCAGCTCGTATTCTTTTCAAATAAATGTTGTACATGTTTACAATAATACAGATCCATTTAAATTCAAATTTGGGAGAATAGAGTGACCACCAGCGTATGCTATTGAAAAAAACAAAAAATCTAATCAGTGTTCGTAACCTGAACAGACCAGTCCCCACAAACAGCATCCGTTGTTAATGTAATGATTCTTTTTGTCGAATAGATGTTTTGGAGAGAAGTGCACCCAAACGGAGCCGTGGTACGGAACCAAGTATCTGCAGGAGGATATCGAGGAAGCCAAAATAAAGGTAGAGTTTTTTTATATATAATATTCTTGGATTATTTGGCAGACAATCTGCAGCCGTAAGTTGTGCAGACAAGGGATTTCATATTTTACTAGCTGTACCCGCAACTTCGTCCGCGTGGAATTTAACTTTATTTTTCTAAAATTAAAGTAGCCTAAGTTACTCCTTATTACATCAGCTACCTGCTAATAAAAGTCCCGTTAAACGGTCCAGCCATTTCAGAGATTAGCCGGAACAATCTGACCGACAGACAGACAGACAAAAATTGTAAAAAGTGTTTTTTTTGTATATGTACCGTATTTATATTCATATGCGTGTAGTAAATAACGGTTATTTCAATATTACAAACAGACACTCCAATTTTATTTATATGTATAGATAAGTTGAGAAATTCAAAGATTTTATTGCATCCATGAGACGGTGATGCCTAGACGATATGAGATGCAATGATGGTCTAGTTATGTGGCTAGTTTGTAAAAAATATGACTAAATAATAATAATAACCCTGGACAATTAACACAGCGCCATCTAGTCCCACGGTAAGCAGAGCTTGTGTTATGGGTACTAGACTACTGATATAAATAAATAAATAACCCTGGACAATTAACACAGCGCCATCTAGTCCCACGGTAAGCAGAGCTTGTGTTATGGGTACTAGACTACTGATATAAATAAATAAATAACCCTGGACAATTAACACAGCGCCATCTAGTCCCACGGTAAGCAGAGCTTGTGTAATGGGTACTAGACAACTGATATAAATAAATATATAACCCTGGACAATTAACACAGCGCCATCTAGTCCCACGGTAAGCAGAGCTTGTGTAATGGGTACTAGACAACTGATATAAATAAATAAATAACCCTGGACAATTAACACAGCGCCATCTAGTCCCACGGTAAGCAGAGCTTGTGTTATGGGTACTAGACAACTGATAGAATACTTACATGTATTGTAAAAACATACATAATATATATAGAAAACACCTAGACCGATACAAAGAATCATACACATGAATATAAATATATGTTGTGCACAACACACACATACACACACATAGTGTGTGTGTTGCGAAGAATCGAACCCGCGACGATCGGAAGTAGAGCGGTGTGCTAAATCACTAGAACACCGAAGCCGTCAATTTTTTTTAAATTTTACTAAAACTTTAATACTATAGATATATCCTTTATATGTAGGAATGGAAATCAGTGACGTCATGTCCGGAGCTGTGTCTACCGCCCGTCAACGAGTTCATCCCGGCGCGGCTGCAGTTGGAGACCAGCGACGACCCCACCATAGACGCCATCGCGCCCGCCATCATCAAGGTAACTAGCTTTCTTTTATTTTTATTTATTTATTTATTTATTCTTTTGCACACAAAAATGTATACATGGCGGACTTAATGCCTTATGGCATTCTCTACCAGTCAACCGTCGCGTTGATCAGAGATAATAAGGCGGTGCACTTTAATAATTAATTGAAAAAAAAAAGAAAAACAAAAATTATAACAAATAGATACAGAAAAATAGTATACATATATATACAGATGCAAATATATAAAAATATTAGTATTATTATATAAAATATATACCAATATAAAATATATAAGTTTATGGATTACATATAAATAAAATATAAATTTAAACTACATATGTTACGGTACCGAATATGAAACGTATGCAATTGTTGAGTAAACGATCCATTTTATTAAGGAGGTCTTGGTTAAGATTTGAATAACACACATCTCCATAATCAATTATAGGTAATACGACAAAGACTGCACTAAAAGACGTTTAGTACCAACCGCAGAAAGTTTTTAAACCATATATAAGGACCGTAAGGCAGCTATGACTTTTCTTTTATATCCTTTATTCAAATTAATTTAATTTAAGCAATTTTGAACATTGGTGGAAAATCACCAAATAATTCTAACATTAGTAATCAATCCTATCTAATTGCCCGAACTACCTAGTAAAATTGCTTGACACTGTCAGGATCGACCATCCACGCGACCACGCACAAATGACCCTGAGATCAACCAACTTATCGATGGCGTCAATTCCTGGTGTATTTGTCACGATACAAGGGTAAGGGCATTGAAGAAGGACTGAAATCATGTTATAAAATGGAGAACATCATGGGAGAAAGGTGCCCCGCCAGCAGTAAACCGAGAGATGTGCCTTGATCAGACGGGCTGCACCATTCCAAAGGTAAGAACAGAACCATTTGTTATCCACAAAAAAAACACATCTAATTATAATTGTTTTCAATATTAATTGTTTGTAATTATAGTTAGACTACATATAGTATTTCTACTGGGTATTTTCTCAAAACTACATAAAAAGCATTTAGAAACAGGCTCGCAACTCGTCCATTCCGTTCTCTGGCTGCTCGCTACCTTTTTCTGTACTTACTGTTCATAGGCCGCCATCTTGTGGACTACTCTGGAAAATCCGGATGCTATAACACCAGTCATCTGTATATTTTTTTTTGTGGATGATAATGGAATGGTGCTCCCGCCTGCGCTAACGGTTTACGCTGGCGGGGCACCAGTGGAGGATGATAAGATGAGCATGAGGTCAGGTCAGTTAGTCCATCGTGACAAATTCACCAGGATTTTAACACGATGGTTTCCAGGGGAACCGCGTGGAGGTCGATCTGACAAATTACATTGCTAGCAATAGGGTTATCAATCCACATTACTAACAATCCCCTTCCCCCAGTCATCTGTATATTAATTCAGAACACTTTTTTCAAAATTAACAGGACACACCCCTAATGAGGCTATGGTTCAAGAGGGACAACGAATTCCTTCTGCCTAAGGCGGTTATCACATTTGATATAGTCAGGTATGTTAAATTAGAATATGGTTGTCATTAATTCACTCACGCACTCACTCATTCACTCACGCACTCACTCACTCACTCACTCATTCACTCACTCGACTCTCTCACTAGCTCGCTCACTCACTCACTCATTCACTCACTCATTCATTTATATTATAGTCACTTTTTTCAAAATTACACACCCCTAATGAGGCTATGGTTCAAGAGGGACAACGAATTCCTCGCTCGCTTACACACTTGATTATTATGTCCTTATAGTCCTTTGTCATACATGGAGCATCCTCGCTCACTCACTCACTCATTCAGTCATTCATTTATTTATACTTATAGTCCTTTGGCATACATGGAGCCCCCCTCGCTCGCTTACACACTTAATTATTTGTCCTTACAGTCCTTACGCATACATGGAGCTTCCTCGCTCACTTACTCACTCATTCACTCATTTATTTATTTGTCCTTATCAGTCCATTGCTTACGGGGGATCCCTCCTGCCTCACTTACTCACTCGCTTAAATATTTGTCCTTATAGTCCTCTATACATGCCGCCCCCCTCGCTCGCTTACTCACTCACTCGCTCTCATTTATTTATACTCATAGTCCTTTGGCATACGTGATCCTCACTTGCTTGTTCACTCACTAACTCACTCACTCACTTATTTATTTGTCCTTATAGTCCTTTGGCATACCTGGACTTCACTCACTATTTGGTCGTTACAGTCCACTGGCGTACGCGGACCCGCTGAACTGTAACCTGACGTCGGTGTGGGTGCTGGTGCTGCGCGACAGCCTGCAGCAGTTCGCGTACGCAGCAGAGCTGGCCGGACTGAGGTGGACCGTCGGCAACGCCAAGTACGGACTCACTGTAAGTACACAACGACAAGTACGGACTCACTGTGAGAACTCGAAGAGTACGGACTCACTTTGAGTACACAACAAGTACGGACACACTGTAAGAACACGACGAGTACAGACTCACTGTAAGTACACAACGCCAAGTACGGACTCACTGTAAGTACACAACGACAAGTACGGACTCACTGTAAGTACACAACGACAAGTACGGACTCACTGTGAGAACTCGAAGTAAAATTTGTACGGACTCACTTTGAGTATACAACAAGTCGGACACACTGTAAGAACACGACGAGTACAGACTCACTGTAAGTACACAACGCCAAGTACGGACTCACTGTAAGTACACAACGACAAGTACGGACTCACTGTAAGTACACAACGACAAGTACGGACTCACTGTGAGAACTCGAAGAGTACGGACTCACTTTGAGTACACAACAAGTACGGACACACTGTAAGAACACGACGAGTACAGACTCACTGTAAGTACACAACGACAAGTACGGACTCACTGTAAGTACACAACGACAAGTACGGACTCACTGTAAGTACACAACGACAAGTACGGACTCACTGTAAGTACACAACGACAAGTACGGACTCACTGTGAGAACTCGAAGAGTACGGACTCACTGTGAGTACACAACAAATACGGACTCACTGTGAGTACACAACGACAAGTCCTGCCTCACTGTTAGTTCACATCGCCGAGACTGCCCGAGGGCTGAGGGCTGAGTCGCCTGACTTATTTATTTATTACAGCGCAATGCGCGGGGCGATCTTAGAGATCATATTTGCACTGTTTGTAGATGTTATGACGTAGGCATCCGCTAAGAAAGGATTTTGATAAATTCCATCCCTAAGGGGATAAAATAGGGGTTCAAAGTTTGTATGAAACTTTGTCAATTTTAAACCGATCGGGCTGAGACTTTGCATTCATAAAGCTACTATGACGTAGGCATCCCCTAAGAGGGGATTTTGATAAATTCCATCCCTAAGGGGATAAAATAGGGGTTCAAAGTTTGTATGAAACTTTGTCAATTTTAAACCGATCGGGCTGAGACTTTGCATTCATAAAGCTACTATGACGTAGGCATCCCCTAAGAGGGGACTTTGATAAATTCCATCCCTAAGGGGATAAAATAGAGGTTCAAAGTTTGTATGAAACTTTGTCAATTTTAAACCGATCGGGCTGAGACTTTGCATTCATAAAGCTACTACGACGTAGGCATTACGTGAGAAAGGATTTTGATAAATTCCATCCCTAAGGGGATAAAATAGGGGTTCAAAGTTTGTATGGAACTTTGTCAATTTTAAACCGATCGGGCTGAGACTTTGCATGCATAAAGCTATTGTGACGTAGGCATCCGCTAAGAAAGGAAACAAAAGTAAAGCGGCAAAAACTATACCTACTTAATAATAATAATACAATACTTCTTAACGCGAGCGAAGCCGCGGGCAAAAGTTAGTAGTAACTAAAAATATATTATTACAGGTAACAATAGACGGATATGATGACAAACAACACGTGTTACTGGACAAGATAATTGAACATATGGTGAACTTCAAGGCGGACCCTAAAAGGTTCGAAATCATGAAAGAAAATCACATAAGAGGCATCAAAAATTTCGAAGCAGAACAACCCTATCAGGTATTCTTTTTTTTTATCTTATTAATAGTATGAACGTAAACGTTTTTTTTTTCGGACCTCTCTAATGCTGTTGGCCGCAGCTGGCCTTTACAGCTTCACCGGACGTTATGGGGCGAGTGCAGATGGCACTCCAAACCCGCGGAAGGACTTATGGAGCGGCTGAAGGCCAACTCCCGCCTGACGGATACGACTTTAGACTGAGGGCACCACTAGGGGTTCGAACCTCGGCTCAGGCCGTCGTAATTTCGATCCCCGTTTGAATTGGACGGGGGATCGATTGGAGGGGCACGTGAACGTTTGTGAGTATGGATGGATGTTTGTTACTCTTTCACGCAAAAACTACTAAACGGATTTTGATTAAAGTTTTCAATAAACTAGCTTATACATCAGAATAACATATTGGCTATAAACTTCACGCGAGTGTAACTGAAATAATAATTTATACATATAATTTATAATAACACATAATACATTCTCATATATAAAATTCTCGTATCACAGTTTTCGTTCCCATACCCCTCCGAAACGGATTGACCGATTCTCATGAAATTTTGTGAGCGTATTGAGTAGGTCTGAGAATCGGCCAACATCTATTTTTCATCCCCCTAAATGTTAGGGGTAGTCCACCCTAATTTTTTTTTATTTTAAGGCAAAACAACGTTTGCCGGGACAGCTAGTAGTATATATAATAATAATTTATACAGTTTATTACATTAATAAGATGTATGTATGTTAGTCTAAAGGTATTTAGAATATGTCTCATATAAAAAATATCTTATTCCCCAGCATGCAGTCTACCAACAAGCACTATGCCTCTCTGATATAGTCTGGACCAGAAAGCAGCTTCTCCACGCAGCAGAACGTATGATTTTTTTTAATAGAATAGAATAAACTTCATTTAAGCACTTTTGAATAGTCAAAAAATCAAAAATCATTTATTATTACGTTTTTAAGTTTAAGTGTGTGACATTTAATTCAATTAAATACCGCTTTAAACATTTAATAAGCGCTTTTTAAGTTTTGAATAGTCTCAAGATTTTTTAACCGACACATACAAAAGTGCACTTTTAAATAGTCAAAAATTAAAAATTCAAAAATCATTTATTACATATTAGCCGTTTATGAACATCAAATTTTTTATATTAAAAAAAAACCTACCGTCCAGTTCATCACAGTTATCCTTTTAATCTACCGCAGTGATGGCTCAACCGTCATACTCGTGAACGAGTGCTGCTTGTAGTGACTGGTCTGCTCTTATCACTACGACTGATTTAAACTTATTGTGTATTTAATATTAGACCCTAATAAAGTAGTGCTGGTTGGTAGTTTGTATTCACTTATTTTAACATAAAAATGTAAAGTTACAATGATTATTTGAAAGAGCAACTCGCAAGTTTCTTGCGCGTTCTTCGTGTGATGAATCAGCGTTCAGAATGAGTTGTGGAATAAAAATAAAATAAGAGTACAGGTTTTTTTGATCCCCTATTTTATTTTACCCACCTTTAGGGTAAGATTTTTACAAACTTTGAATGTCATATTTATTTATATTTAATCAACAGCCAAAAAAAATAAGTTTCAAGCTTCAAAAATGACAAAAGTTTTCGTCTCCCCTTTCAACCCCTTGTAATCCTTTTTTTACAATGAAAAGTAGCCTATTTCCTTTCTAAGCATCTAGACTATCTGTCTACCAAATTTCACTTTGAATGTCATATTTATTTATATTTAATCAACAGCCAAAAAAAATAAGTTTCAAGCTTCAAAAATGACAAAACTTTTCATCTCCCTTTCAACACATTGTAATCCTTTTTTTTTATAATAAAAAGTAGCCTATTTCCTTTCTAAGCATCTAGACTATCTGTGTACCAAATTTCATTTAAAGCGGCTCAGTAGTTTTGGCAGAAAAGCGAGACAGACAGACAGATAAGAGCTATTTTCTTTTAGCATTTATAATATTAGTAAGAATAGTAAAACATCAATGAAAAATTTATCTTATGTGACGCAGCAGAATTTGCTTCTGTTAGTTAATAAGTACATGAAGAATATTCTTCTCCATCAGAGATGACAGTGGAGCAGTTAGACGACTTTGCGGCGCGGCTGATGAGGAAAGTCCACGTGGAAGGGTTCATGTTTGGCAACTTGACCCGCGAGAGGGCGTTGAAAATTGCCAACAATTTAGAAAACAAGTGAGTCTTGAAACATCTTATACTAGCTAGTATAAGATATTTATTTAGTTAGTATAGCACATTTCACGTGGGTGAAAATCTGCTTGAAGTTTATAGCCATTCCATTTTTTAATCTTTAAGACAATTTTATATATATTATATAAGAAATATTTATATAATTTTAATGTCTTCTTTTCCCTTTTTTTTCTTTTCTCGTACACGTATGTATGACTGATCTAATGACCACATTGTCCTATAACATTTTCTAGGTTTGCTGAAAGAAACTCTTATACATTACTTTTATTTTATTAATGCTATTTTTTTTCCTGTGTGTGTACAATAAAGAATAAAGAGAGAATTCGAGGTTTTTGACGTTGTCAGGTTTTCGCATTTTTTAAATAGAAAATACGGAAATGATGCCAAAGACAACGGCTGTATGGGCCTAGACTCTTTGCCTTTCCATTAAGGATAAATAAAACAAAACAAAAAATAGTGTTGTGACACTATCGGATATTAATATTAATTACCCATTTTTATAGGTTATTCAGAAATAATGTGTGGGTGTTTAATTATAATGCATTAATATAAGAATGAATAAATATAGGGTTGTTGTATCAAAATAGATTTTGTTTATTTTCCACTAAAATAAAGACTAACTGCCTTTTTTCATAAAACAAATTACCGTTTTATAGTGTCATATATAATAAACAAAACATTATTAACATTTATAAATTCTTCAATTTTATAATAAGCTTTTCTACAAAGAAAATATTTTATGACACATTTGAATTTTTTTTCTGGCAAATTGACTACAGACTCTGGGAGTTTGTTGTAAAACCTTACGCAATTTCCATAAAACGAATTACTGACTTTCGTCAAACGGCACTTAGGTAAAACTAGTTTGTTGACATTACGTAAGCTTTTATTAGTGTAATCAGCTACTTTTTTAAAACTTAATGTTTTTCCTGGCACACATAATATTATATATATACTAGCTGTCCCGGCAAACGTTATTTTGCCTTAAAATAAAAAAAATAATTAGGGGTGGACTACCCCTAACATTTAGGGGGATGAAAAATAGATGTTGGCCGATTCTCAGACCTACTCAATACGCTCACAAAATTTCATGAGAATCGGTCAAGCCGTTTCGGAGGAGTATGGGAACGAAAACTGTGACACGAGAATTTTATATATATGATTATACATAATATTACATATAATATGCAATAATGAAATATATATTATTATTGTAAAGACAATTTTGAATTCTATTTCAGATTACCCAAAGATGCAACTCCATTGCTAGCACAACAATTACTACTGCACAGAGAGATTGAGTTAGGGAAAGGTCAGTACTCTATGTTATATACGGCGTCGGTGGTCTAGCGGTTTAGCAGCAACTTTCGATGGTCGCAGGTTCGATTCCTGGCACGGTACAAACATTTGTATTCGTGAGTATGATTGTTTATATCGGGCTGGGTGTTTTCTATGTATTTATAACAAAATGTGTTTGAATAAATGTATTTATATAAGTTGTCTAGTGCCCATAATACAAGCTCTGTTTACCTTGGGACTAGATGGCGTTGCGTGAATTGTCCAAGGATATTATGTAAACTAGTGATTTACTACCCAGAATTACACATTAGAGGTCTTGAGTTCAAATCTCTGACTAAAAATACTTTCTGTGTCAATTATAGTTCGTGTTGCTCCCGGAATGGATACTGGACCTAAGGGGCCTCGAGGCCCCAACCTTCGCCCATTATGGGGAGTAGAGTCTCTAATAGAGTCCCGTTACTCGTTTTTTTTATGGATGATAATGAAATAGTGCACCCGCTTACACTAACGGTTTACTACAGCTTACCATGGGACTAAATAGCGCTGTGAGATTTTTTTTATGGATGATAATGGTGTGGTCCACCTGCCTGTGACAACAGTTTACGCTGGCGGGGCACCAGTGGAGGATGATAAGATGAGAATGAGGTCAGGTCAGTTAGCCCACTGTGACAAATTCACCAAGAATCTACCACGATGGTTTCCAGAGGGAACCGCGTGGAGATCAACCTGACATGGTACATTGCTAGCTATAAGATCATCAGTCCACGTTACTAACAATCCCCTTTCTCTACTAGGAGGTTGATGGGCCCAGAATCGATGACAGGGCTAAGGGACCTCGAGGCCCCAACCTTCACCCCTCGGTTGCGGATGATCAGTATATGCATGTTTAAATAATCAACAGGTACAACATTTCTTCGAGAGACAGAAAACTCCGTACACAAGTCATCATGCACGTCTCTGTACTATGCATGCGGTCTTCGGGATACCAGGCAGAATGTAGCATTGGAGCTGCTGGCGCAGACACTGTCGGAGCCCTGCTTCAGTATTCTCAGGACTAAGGTTCGTATCTTATATATAAAATTCTCATGTCACAATGTTTTTCGAGTCGACAGCGCAACACCCCTGGTGTCTCTGGCGTCCATAGACTACGGTAATCGTTTACCATCAGATGCGCCGTCTGCTTGTTTGTCACCTACGTGGTATAAAAAATATGTTAGTTACCATACTCCTCCGAAACGGCTCGACGGATTTTTATGAAATTTTATATGCATACTCAGTAGGTCTTAATCGGCTACTATTTTTCGGAGCCCCTAAGTGATAAGGATTCTCAGGACTCTAACATTTTTATTTATATATAATGTGATATTATATATATGTCACAAATATTATTATAATTACATTAAAATACATACTCCTCCGAAACAGTTTGAAAAACCCCTATTTTTTTATAAATTTTATTGTTGTATGCATATTCAATAGGTCTGAGAATATGTATATATTTCTATCTGTCCCGGCATTTTTTATATAAATTAACGCTATAAAAAATTTTGATGATATTTTTATATGTATTTTTGTATGTTGTATTAAAATTATAGAAACTAAAAACTTTGTCTAAAAAATAAAAATTTAAGTACTACCCTAACATTTGGAAAAATAGATGTTGGCCGATTCTCAGACCTACTCAATACCCACAAAATTTCATGAGAATCGGCCAAGTTTTTTTTGTAGGAGTATGGAAACGAAAACTGTGACACGAGAGTTTTAATATATATTATTACTAGCTGACCTCATAAACTCCGTAGTGCCTTACAATTAAATAATATGTCAGAGGTAGGGTATAAAGAATTTGTATAGAAAGTAAAATTGGTGTTTTAACTATTTCCTATGCAATTTCTTCACATTTTATCACCGTTTAAACCTTTCCTGGACTTCCACAAATCAAGACTAAAATTAGCCAAATCCGTAGCCGTTCTCGACTTTTAGCGAGACTAACGAACAGAATGAACAGTGATTCATTTTTATATATATGGATTATTATTGTTATAGGAACAACTTGGCTATATTGTGTTCAGCGGCGTTCGTCGCTCCAACGGAGTTCAGGGGCTACGAGTCATAGTACAAAGTGATCGACACCCGGCCTACCTCGAGCGAAGAATCGACGCCTTCCTAGCTGGCTCACAGGTAACTACTTCATTCAATCTAAGTATTTATATAATTTATCAGACGACCTCGGTGGTCTAGCGGTCTAGCACACCGCTTTACGTCCGATGGTCGCGGGTTCGATTCCTCGCACGGCACAAACATTTGTATTCATGAGTATGATTGTTTGTATCGGTCTGGGTGTTTTCTATGTATATTATGTATGTATTTATGAAAATAAATTCTATGTATTTACATCAGTTGTCTAGTACCCATAACACAAGCTTTAGCTAGCTTAACTTGGGTCTAGATGGCGTTGTGTGAATTGTCCTGAGATGATTATTATTATTATTGTAGTTATCTAGTACTATAACACAAGTTCTGCTTCCCCTCCGATCGATACCCGTCTAATTCAAACAGGGATCGAAATTACGACGGCCTGAGCCGAGGTTCGAACCCCTATCAGTGCCCTCAGATTAAAGTCCCATCCGTCAAGCGAGAGTTGCCTTCCTTCAGCCGCTCTGTAAGTCCTTTCGGCTTGGAGTGCCATCTGCACTCACCCCCTATTGTCTGGTGGAGCTGTAAAGGACAGCTGCAGCCAACAGCATTAGAGTAGTCCGAAAAAGAAGCTCTGCTTACCGTGGGACTAGATGACGTTATGTTATTTTTTTATGGCTGATAATAATGGCTGGGCACCAGTGGAGGATGATAAGATGCGCATGAGGTCAGGTCAGTAAGCCCATCGTGACAAATTCACCAAGAATTTATCACGATGGTTTCCAAGGGGACACGCTTGGAGAGCAACCTGACCAGGAGTTAACCACGTTGGTTTCTAGGTGGAACTGCGTAGAGGTCAACCTAACATGGTACATTGCTAGCAATGGGGACACTAGACCCATTACTAATGTTAGAGTTCACATCAATATTGTAGAAAAATCCGATATTTTAAAATGATATTAAAAGAAGGTAGTTTGTGTTTAGTACTAATGAAGTACGCAATGTAAAGATTATTACAAATATTGTAAATAGCGCCATCTAGTATTTATAGACCAACCTACTACACTGACTTCAGTCTATAAATACGGAGGTCGGTAGTTGAATAATCCTCTTTCGTTGGGTGAGCCGCGGCATTCCGTCGACGAGCGCAGGGCGTGCCGGTTCTATTTTGGATACTAAAGCGAATTGTATTAGAAATGAGTTTATCCCGGTCTTAGTTGGGCCTGGTGGGAAACTGCAAGTAGTGAAGGTGAGTGTTAATGCAGTCTAAAAGGGCCTCTTAAATCTACACCCGTGTCACAAGTCACGGGCGCTACTTGGGGTTTCTCTTGCGGTAGCTGGCTTCAAAGCCTCAGTCGTCATTAATTAATAATAATAAAGACATTTATTCAGCATTACAGTATTCTTAGATGCTATCTATCTTATATACTATACAACTTAAAAGCTAAAAGCTAAAACATACTAGTAACGCTGAATGTGACTCCCACTCAGCATTTATACTGCAGTATATATATACTGCTGATTTTCAGTGGGGCCACCACACACGAGAGAGCGTACGTAAAAAAAAGAAAATAAAACGTTAAAATTAAGACCATTTTATAAATAGGTATGTAAATGTATGTAATAAATAATTAATGTATGTATTCAGTATATTCTATATTATTTAAGTAGGTATATTGCTATGTAATGATATTTATTATAATAAAATTTATTAATAATATTTAAATATATAACATAAATGGTGTATTGGTACATGTTTTAGATGCTTATTATATTATATGTGTTCCCTGCTACAATGATTTTTGTTCTTTAAAAAAAATAATTTATGTTTGAAAGAACTAACTGTCACTGAAAAGTTTATTCCAGTTGTGCTTTTACATGGAAATGTGTTAATTTAAAAAAAAGGTATTATTTGTTTGTTTAATGGAAATATTTTTTCAGTCGTACCTAATAGACATGACGGAGGAAGAGTTCCTGAAGCACCGCACCGCACTCGCTGCGCAGAAGTTGGAGAAGCCGAAGCGGATGTCCTCGCGCGCTTCGCAACTGTGGGGCGAGATCACGGCACAGGTGAGTGATTTCTATAACATTGATTACACTTATATATTCATATATATATTATTACTAGCTACTCACCCTGACTTCGCCCGGGTGTACATGTATTATACATATAAACCTTCCTCTTGAATCACTCTATCTATTTAAAAAAAACGGCAAAATCCGTTGCATAGTGTTAAAGATTTAAGTATACATAGGAACAGACAGAGACAGCGACTTTGTTTTGTACTATGTAATGATATATATAATCTATACATATATATGAAATTGGAGTGTCTGTTTGTAATATTGAAATAACCGTTTTTTACTACCTGCATATGAATATATAGACTGTACATATACCAAAATAACAATTTTTATAATTTTTGTCTGTCTGTCGGTCTGTTTGTTCCGGCCAAATTCTAAAATGGCTGAACCGATTTTGACGGATTTTTTTTGGTAGGTGGCTGATGTAATAAGTAGTAACTTAGGCTACTTTTATTTTAGAAAAATAAAGTTAAGTTCCACGCGGACGAAGTCGCAGGGGTTAGCTAGTCAAAAATATGACTACTAAAAAAACAGTTTCTTTTGCTACAAAAATCTCCGTCGAATTAAGGGTTAGAATTTTTTTTTTGTTTAATTTATTTGTATCTGTATATAGTTAAAAACCCGCATGTTAGTTTTTTATAATGAGTAATGTGGGCCGCCTGGAAACTAGCGCTGTATAGGTGCACCACATTGAGGTTACACATATATCAGAAACAGCTGAGGCAGCTCCTATTGACAACTTTATGTTATACTAGCTGTCCCGGCAAACGTTGTTTTGCTTTAAAATAAAAATAAAATTTAGGGGTGGACTACCCCTAACATTTATGGGGATGAAAAATAGATGTTGGCCGATTCTCAGACCTACTCAATACGCTAACAAATTCATGAGAATCGGTCAAGCCGTTTCGGAGGAGTATGGGAACGAAAACTGTAACACGAGAATTTTATATATACGTTATTTTCAGGTTTACAACTTCGACCGTCCCAGAGTTGAAGTGGAGCAGCTGAACACCATAACCAAAGAGGAGTTGATAGAATTCTATAAGGTATGACAAATTTGAACATTTTAAATATTTGATGGCCTCGGTGGTCTAGCGCTTTACGCCCTATGGTCGCGGGTTCGATTCCTCGCACGGCACAAACATTTATATTCATAAGTATGACTGTTCGTATCGGTCTGGGTGTTTTCTATGTATAATATGTATGTATTTACGAAAAAACATTATCTATGTACTTGTATCAGTTGTCTAGTACCCATAACACAAGCTTTAGCTAGCTTAACTTGGGTCTAGATGGCGCTGTGTGAATTGTCCTGAGATTATTTATTTTATTTGTTTATTTATTTAATAATAACTGTCCGCCCAGGGGTCGAACTTCGACCATAATTAATATATATTCTTTTTGTTTTCTTGCTCTCGTCCATTATTAAATTAAATCTTGTTGGTGACCTAATATACTGGGTGTAAGGTACAGGTTGGCAAAACCTGAAACTGTGAATTCAGACCATTATTCTGAACTGAAAAGCAATGGAAATTCTTTCAGGATTTTTTTAAATATTTGTTCTTTTAAAATCATGTCTATGATATTATGTAATAATATAAAGAAATAATAATATTTCATAGCGATATAATATAAAATAATAAATAAATGTCATGGCATATAATTATAGTTTTAATATTAGAGATTGACATTAGTAATACTGTGACATTTATTATTTTATTGTAGGAATATTATAATGTTTTAATTAAATTTAATGACATATTGTAATTATGATATCATTTTCAATATTTGCAAGGCCAGGGGTGCCAAAAAAGAGATGGATGGACTGTATATTATATTGTAAGATCAAAAAATGTAAGTAAATAAATTATTATTATTATTATTATTATTATTATTATTATTATTAGCATATATATATATATATTTATTATATCGACCACAAATAAATAGGATTATATTTATATATTATTATTATTATTATTATTAAAAAAATACCATAAAGCATCAATGTATAATATTTAAAATCCTTCCCCGCGCTGATCAGTTCTGAACTGACGTGTCACCGCGATACTTCTCCTTGTAAAATCACATTGCACGGCGTCAAAACTAAAAATCGTTAATTATAAGGCTGTGGTGCACTTCCGGTGAGAAAATTGCCATCTGATTCAGAACATTCATCTGAATCAGCTGTTTTCGTTTTGGCCAACCTGTCCCTTACACCCTGTATAAATAAGCCTTTTTTTTCGGTAAACTATAGCTGTTGGCCGCAGCTGGCCTTTACAGCTTCACCGGACGTTAGAGGCGAGTGCAGATGGCACTCCAAACCAAGGAAGGACGTTAGGGGCGAGGCGCAGATGGCACTCCAAACCAAGGAAGGACTCTCCAAGCGTGTCCCTTGGAAACCATCGTGTAAATTCTTGGAGCGGCTGAAGGACAACTCCACTGCCTGACGGATACGACTTTAGTCCCACGGTAAGCAGAGCTTCTTTTTCGTACTGAGGGCACCGCTCCACCAGACAATAGGGGTGAGTGCAGATGGCGAACCTCGGCTCAAGGAAGGCAACTCCGCTTGACGGATGGTCGTAATTTCGATCCCCGTTTGAATTGGACGGGGGATCGATCGATAAAGCCGTACATACAAGTTTTTTTCTATATATAATTTCTATTATATACATACAGAAATACATCAGTGAAGATTCACTGGAGAGACAGAAGTTGTCTGTTTACGTGGTGTCGACAGCTGAGGGCGGAGCTGGAACTGCTACCCAGAATGGAGACGTGGAGGATGACCAGACCACCCGCAAGGAAGTAAGTTTTTAATACATACATGCTACAGATCACACATAATAACACAATTTTATAAATCTTATGTTGTATTATGTATTTTACATTCTTATGAACAGGTTGTGTGTGATTAGTAACAAACAAATAAACGATATATCTATGTATGGCAAAGATTTGAAATAGTGGGATGTATCTCACACAGATATTGTAACGCTAACTCACCCCAACATTACATTATTGTAGTTCAGGGCGGGATAGCTAAGGGCTTTTTGGGGTGCAGCCCAGGGCACCGTGAATATAAAGGGCCCCAGTCCCCACTGAAACGATATTTAGAATATAAAAAAATATCTAGAATGTTAAAAAACCTATCATAAGGTTGGCAACCCTGAGATCAATCGACTCATGCCAGTGCGCGTCTATCGATAGGAACGGGGAATTTCTGGTCGCTTGTTTTTGGTCGGTGTATTTTTTTATCTATACATATAAATAAAATTGGTGTGTCTGTTTGTAATATTGAAATAACCGTTTTTTCTACATGCATATGAATATGGTATATGCACCAAAATAACATTTTGTACAATTTTTTATCTGTCAGTCTGTCGGTCTGTTTGTTCCGGCTAATCTCTGAAATGGCTGGATCGATTTTGACTGGACTTTTTTTGGCAGGTAGCTGATGTAATAAGGAGTTACTTAGGCTACTTTTATTTTAGAAAAAAAATCTTTTTTTCTTATTTTCGTCCATTATTATATAGTGTATGTATGTACATAAACTAATATGTATCTATGTATGTATTTGTATCAGTTGTCTAGTACACGTAACACAAACTTTACCTAGGTTAACCTGGAACTAGATGGCGCTGTGTGAATTGTATTATTATTATTATTATTAATCTATCTATGTATTGTTCCAGCCAATCAAAATAACGGATCTTGTGGAGTTCAAGTCGAGAAGACGTTTATATCCCCACGCGGCGCCGTTTACAAATATACCAAGAAAAGGAGCACAATGTAAACTATAATGTTTATATATATATATATACATATAGCAAGGCAGCGTCGTAGTCTAGTAATTAAATACCTCGGCATAAAACCAAAAGGTAGTGGATTCCAATCTAGCAGCCAATAAAATATACGTCAATCTTTAAATATAAAAATTACGCATCACGTTGTTTGTCCGCGCTGGACTCCTAAACTACTGAACCGATTGCAAATTTGATTTTAACATTGTGTGCAATTTGATCAAAATTGAGAGATAGGATAGATACATCTACATCTCAATTTATAGTCGCAATATTATTTTATTCAAGAACCTCAGCCACAGCAACGCGTGGCCGAGTCTGATAGTTTCACTATATTGAAGCACTGATATGAAATGCATCACGTTGCAGATCGTATTGAAATATCTTATTTCTCACATAAGGACCTGTATTTTTTTTTATTATTCATTACAAGTACGTATATTATTTTATAAATATGTTTTTAGTGTACAATAATTTGAAATAGAAGGTCTAAATTTAACCCCCAGATTTATTTCAATTAAAGTGCCCACTCGTATTCATCCGGTCCCAACTTTCGTTGCGGAGTGACCCACCGGTGGGCATGCGGTCTTTGACGTGATGCTCTGAGAGACGGCGGTAAGCTAGCCACCTACAGAGAAAGTACCAGGAGAACATGACTCAAGTAGATTATAGCCTACGACCGTCTATGGAATTGATGTGGTTTTTTTATTCAAATATATACTGATCGAAATGTGGACATGTCAAGTGTTGCGTTCACAACATCGACAGTTGGCAATGACTCTGACTACCCCATCAAAGATAACAATCGTGAAGTTATCTTCTATTAGCGATACTACAGTGAAAGTACCAGGAGAACATGAAGAGTACCAGGAGAACTTTATGACAAGTCAAGTGTTGCGTTCACAACATGGACAGTTGACAATGACTCTGACTACTCCATCGAAGATTTTTTTTTTATTCAAATACACCAAGAACATGACTCGAATAGTGTCAATGTGGACATATATACTGTCAAGTGTTGCATTCACAACATCGACAGTTGACAATGACTCTGACCACCCCATCAAAGATAACAGTCGTGAAGTTATCTCACTATTACCGATACTACAGTGAAAGTACCAGGAGAACATGACTCGCAAAGAGGCTAGTGTCTACCGCCGTCTGATGTAGCAATATAGTTTTCTTTATTCAAATATATTTTTTTTTATTTAATATTTTACGGCTCTGGATACAAGTCCTTTTTAGCCCAACATAAAATACAAAACCTTAAAAAAAATTAATGAAATTGAAAATAATGAAAATTGAAATGTGGACATGTCAACTAGTCTACCTACCCCCATCTGGGATAATAAATATAAGAGACTTTCGTCCTGTTTATCATAGTTTTTTTTATCACAGAAGACTGCAGACACTCACACACATATATGTGTGTGTATTATAGCGTGAGAGTCACGTGATTTATGCAATTAGAATTTAGTCAAAACTTACTGTAATAGATTAGTGATAACCACTTTAACATCGGGTAAGCTGTTTCTAAGATTAGCGTGCACAACCGCACAGACAACGATGTACAATTTTTTTAAAAGACATTTAATGTATGTGCTTGATTTGTAGACTACTACTATTTCCGAGCGTCGACTCTGTAATAAAGTTCAAATTGTCTTCTTTGTAAAAAGGAAATAAACTAATCTGTGCCTGTAATCCCAGCCGACCGTTCACGAGTATGACGGATGGGTCAGGGATCATTGTACTCAATCATATAATACACTAGCTTTTACCCGCGGCTTCGCTCGCGTTAATTTATCCTCTTAGGGGTGGAATTTATCAAAATCCTTTCTTAGGGGATGCCTACATCATAGTAGCTTTATGTATGCAAAGTCTCAGCCCGATCAGTTTAAAATTGACAAAGTTTCATACAAACTTTCATCCCCTATTTTATCCCTTTGGGGGTAGAATTAATCAAAATCCTTTCTTAGCGGATGCCTACGTCATAACATCTACCTGCATGCCAAATTTCAGCCCAATCCGTCGAGTGGTTTGGGCTGTACGTTGATAGATCACTATGTCACCTTTGAGTTATATATATTTAGATTTACAAAACAAAGTTCTAAGTATTTATATCAGTTGTCTAGTACTCATAACGTAAGCTCTGCTTACCGTGGGACTAGATGGCGCTTTTTAATTGTTACGGTTATTTATTCATTCATGTAGATCTATCCTAAAGCTTATGATATGTCAAATCTGCCGTCAGTTCGGAGTGATTTCGAGCTAAGAGCTGACAAGAAACACATCTCTTATTCTTTCCAAATGTACATGATTACAAAAATACAGATTCATTATAGAGAAGGTAGTGTTTGATCTTTTCATTTACACAATCTCTGAAACGAGTACAAACAGGATCCGACTTTCGGAAACATATCTCTAACGTACTAATGCGTTCGGAAATACTAGTTTATGTTTTATATTCATCAGATTATCATCATAGTCATCAACATCACCATCTGCTTCTTCCTTGTCCATTTATTTGTGGTCGTCGCAATGTTTTTCTCTACCATTTATCCCTGTTCGCAGTCATCTCGTTCATGTTGCATACCCGATAAGGTGAAACTGTTGATACATAGCTATATATATTGTTATACCACCCACAAAAAAATGTACCCACACAGTTAGCAATAAAGATATATTCTATTCTATATTCTATTCTATTCTATTCTATTCACTCCCTGTTTGCGACATTTATAAACATATCAAGTGGTATGGTATAATTCCCCATATCCTATTCCCTTTCCCGCGCACAGTATGTCAACTGAGGTCCTCCGACGACCTCGTCTACTAACGTGAATGGTGACTCGTCCCGACCGCTCCGCTTTTGATATAAATATAATATAATGAGTTTTTTTTTTTATTGTATGTATTAATGTAATTTTTTTAGGTAATTGAAAGATTATATATTATTTTGAGTTTAAAATTAAATCATTAAAGCACTACAGTTTCTGAATTAATATAATATTGACATTAACAATAAGTAACTTTGTGTACGTACCTGTGTTAAACTTAGTATTCATCGAGTGCAGCAGCTGTGCAAGAATACACCTGCTCTACAGTTTTTTTTAAAGGTTGATAATGGAATGGTGTACCCGCCTGCGCTAACGGTTTACGCTGGCGGGGCACCAGTGGAGGATGATAAGATAAGCGTGAGGTCAGGTCAGTTAGCCCATCATGACAAATTCAACAAGAATTTATCACGATGGTTTCCAGGAGCAACCGCTGACATGGTACATTATTAACAATGGGATCATCAGTCCACATTACTAACAATCCCCTTTCTACAGTCGCAGGTACGTACTGTGCATCCCCCTTTAGTTCAATCCATACAGTCCACTTACCTTACCCGCTACCCCCCATATTTTTAGGTTTTAGATATTTATTCTCATTAAGAATTACATATAATTCACTTAACATGAGAACTAAAAGCATAAACTTATACAAAATTAAATATTAGTGGAAATACAAAAGAAGGTGTACATATATAATGCGGACGGTGCAGTAACAAAGTCTACGCAGTAACTACCCGCATAAATGATAACATTTATTGGTTGCTTACCGCGCATAGATGGCCTCAGCGGTACTGGGTTCACATGTACACAGATGTATCAGATCATCATGTACTAGATGTGGCATATTAGAGAGTTTATTTTGTTTAATTTTTAATATCTCCTCTCCCTTTCTTACCATATCATCTTTCACACTGTCCATTAATATTTATCAGCGTTATTTTCTCATTGAAAGACTGTCAAATACACATTTTTTTTTCTCTTGTTTCCTTGTGTAATTAGTGTATATGTATGTAATTTGTGTGTATTTGTATATTATCTTCCTAAGTGAGCATATTGGTAGACTGTAAAGCTCACTTAGTATTCTTCATCATCCTCGCCTCTTCCCGTTACTCGGGGTCGGCTTTTCTAATCCTGGAGCGCCATACATTTCGCTGGTAAGCATCCTCATTTGACAGGCCCAACTCCTTCATGTCCTATGGACATTTGTCAACCAGGTAGTTGGTGGCCTGCCTCGTTCTCTTTTTGTTGTAGCCATGGAAAGACACTTTCTCACAATGTGGTTTTCAGGTTTACGCAGAATATAAAGCTGACTTAGTATGACATAAATAAATAAATATAAATGTGTCGCCGATCTGTAATATTTAATATCGTCTGGTAATTCTGTTATGGACTCCAGCGACTATTGTCTTCTCTTTTTTTCAAGATACATGATTCTTTAAAACATCCGTGATGACAAGGACAGGCTGATAACGAGATGTTATACATATAAAAGGAATTTGACATGTTTAGCCTAAATGTAATACATTCATTCATAATTTAAGAGCTACGCTCTTATCGGTGGAGCTCTTGCCACTTTCCGCGATCTTCCACCATGCTCTTTAATTCTTGATACGACACGACTCCCATTTTGTCCTCAATTTGTTTGATGTAGCTATTCCTTTGTCTTCCCCTCCCCCTCTTTCCTTCTATTTTCCCTCAATAATAATTTTCATGAGATCATCGTGCCGTATCAAGTGTCCTAACATTTTCCCTCGTCTATTTTCTATTGTGTTCAATATCTGCCTTTTTTCTTTTACCCTGTGTAGTACTTCTTCGTTTCTTTCTTTAAATGTCATACAACATACATAAATGCTACAAACAATATTAAATTTAAATGTTAAATAATAATAAAAAACAGAATGATGTAACAATACAAAAACTACAACTTAAGTATATGTAATATGAAACTAATAACACATTTTGTCAAATTTAACATCCAAAAAAATTCCGGACTACTCTAATGCTGTTGGCCGCAGCTGGCCTTTACAGCTCTACCGGATGATAGGGAGCGACTGCAGATGGCACTCCAAAACAAAGGACTTATGGAGCGGCTGAGGGACAACTCCCGCCTGACAGATACGACTTTAGTCTGAGGGCACCGCTCGGCTCAGGCCGTCGTAATATCGATCCCCGT